GCGTGCCCAGGACTCTGCCACGAGTCCGGAGGGCAGCATCCTTCAGAGTCGTGCCCCAGGCTGAGAAGACAGTAGAAGCAAAGCTAAGGAAGATGATGAGACTGGGAGTGAGAGCAAGTAAGGTGGAATGGCTGGCCTGAACTGGAGAGGCAGAGGTGCCCAGAGATGCCCAGAGCGTAGGGGCCTTGCTTGGCACAGTCTGGGTTTCATCCCGAGGTCATGGGGTTCCAGGGAAGGGTTTTAAGCAGAGAAGAGGTGTGGTCAGATTTCTGCTCTAGGGCCCTCTGAGGTGGGAGGCAAATTCAGGGACCTGTGGAAGGGAGGATGTGGTGTGATGCAGATTTTTCCTGAGAGGTCAGAGTGTGTAGGGAATAAAAGCCTGGGCCCTGGAGTAAGAGCAGCCGACTGCTAATCCCTGCCTCCTGAGACTGTGGGACCTGTTATTCATCTCAGCCCCGATTTCCCCTCTTTAAGAAAAAAAAAAAAAGATAGTGAGACTACCTGCCTCAAATGGTTGTTGTGATGATTCAATACATCATTTATAAGGCTTGCCATTAATGTTTTTGTTTTTCTCAGATATATGCCCAGGAGTGGAACTGCTGGGCCATGTGGTGGTTCTGTTTTTGGGTTTTTGAGAAACCTCCATATTGTTTTCCATAGTGGCTGCACCAAGATACATTCCCACCAACATGTACAAGCGTTCCCCTTTCTCCACATCCTTGGCAACATTTGTTATTTGTGTTCTTTTTGATGATGGCCATTCTGACAGGCGTGAGATGGTGTCTCACTGTGATTTGGGCTTGTGTTTCCCTGATATTGGTGATGTTGAGCACTTTTTCATGTTCGTGTGGGCCATCTGCATTTCCTCTTTTAGAAAAATATCTGTTCAGTTCTTCTGCCCATATTTTAAATGGGTTGATTGGTTGGTTGTCTGCTTTTTAATTGAAGTACAGTTGATTTAAAATGTATTAATTTCTGGTGTCCAGCATGGGTGGACTTGGAGGGCATCATGCTAAGTGATATAAGTCAGACAGAGAAAGACAAATACTGTAAGCTATCACTTACATGTGGAATCTTAAAAAAAATACAACAAACTAGTGAATATAACAGAAAAGAAACAGACTCACAGATATAGAGAAGGAACTAGTGGTTACCAGTGGGAAGAGGGAAGGGGGAGGGGCAAGATGGAGGTGGAGGATTAATAGGTACAAACTATCATGTATTGTACAACATGGGGAATATAGCTAATATTTTATAATAACTATAAATGGAGTAGACCTTTAAGAATTGTGTATTGTAAACCTGTAACATATGATATTGTACATCAACTTACAATTTTAAAAAATATGATATTGTAAAATAAATACATAAGTAAAGTTTTAAAAATAAACAAATACATGAAAAGTAAAAGGCTTACCAACAGCCTGGCAGAAAGGAACAGGGAGGATTTACAGAGAGCTCACGGGGAGCACCCAGGAGAGAGCAGTGTACAGCACACGTGCAGCGCGGATAAGAGTTTTAAAATATCCATGTCGTTCTCTTTTTCTCACTCCTTGAGCAAGTGACTCTAACGCAGAACCCTTTTCCTCGCAAGACCCCCTTGGCTTCCCGCATCCCTGCTGCTGCCCAGGACCCCCGCAGTGGGCCCCGGGGAGACGAGGACGGAAGTGATCTTCTCCCTCCTTCAGAGACCGTCTGGCTCTTCCCGGGATGTGTATTTCCCTCCAGAAATGTCGGAATTGACGTAAGCGCTGCACAACAAATAAAGCAAAATACTCGTGTTCAGCATTTGACTCCCAAACTTGGATTTTGAATTCTGCCGACTAAAACTTGGCACTTGCATCTACTTCTGCTTGAATTAAATCATGAGCCCCTGCAGCTGCTGACCTTCAACACACCCTGAAAGGACTTCAGGGTGGAGGTCAGGAACAAGGCACTCCTTGCTCTGGAAAAAACTGGCAGAACAGGCCTTCAGACAGTTAGATATTTTCAGGAGATGTTATGAGCCCAAAATTCTTGCATCTCCTCATACCTAGAAAAGCACTAAAACCACTAACAGTGACATGTGCTCCTCATGACTAGCAGCAAGCCTCTGCCTAAACGTGTGCTTGACTGCACGTCCCCCCTTCCCTGATCTCATATATAGGACTGAGTTCCCCCGCCTCTTCAGAGCAGTTCCTCAGAGCTATCTGAAAGGCTGTCTCCAGGGCTATAGTCCTCATCTTGCCCCAAATAAAACTTAGCTCACAGCTTTCACTTTGTGTGATTTTATTACAGTCGACAGTTCCATAGCAGTCACTGTGGAAGACAGGCACTGTTGTGAGAGGGGGGAAATCTCTAAATTCCCAGATTGCACGTTGAGATACCACGGACGAAAGCTGGCGACCTTACACAGCAGAAACACAGCAGCCGCAGAGGGTGGGGGTCTCTGCGTTATTCACTGATGAATCCCCAGTGCCTCGAACAGGGTCTGGTCCTAGAGGGTGCTTGCTATTCTCTGCAGGAAGCAGAGAAGAAGTGTCTTCCATGGTATAGACACGGAAGGTGCTGGAGCACGAGGGGATTTCCCTTCAGGGAGGAAAATGAGGTAAAAGCATCTCCCCTCCAGAATTCTAACCGGAAAAGACACCTGCACCCCAGTGTTCACAGCAGCACTATTTACAACAGCCAAGACCTGGAAACAACCTAAATGTCCATCAACAGATGACTGGATAAAGAAGTTGCATGTATATATACGCAACAGAATACTATTCAGCCATAAAAACGAATAAACTAATGCCATTTGCAGCAACATGGATGGACCTGGAGATTGTCATTCTAAGTGAAGTAAGCCAGAAAGAGAAAGAAAAATGCCATATAATATCACTCATATGTGGAGTTTAAAAAAAAAAAGGACACAAATGAGCTTATCGATAAAACAAAAGCAGACTCGTAGACACAGAAAACAAACTTGTGGTTACTAGGGGGAAAGGGGATGGGAAGGGATAAACTGGGAGTTTGAGATTTGCAGATACTAACTACTATATGTAAAACAGATAAACAAGTTCACACTGTATAGCACAGGGAATTATATTCAATACCTTGTAGTAACCTATAATGAAAAAAACATGAAAAGGAATCTATGTATGTATATGCAGGACTGAAACATTATGCTGTACATCAGAAATTGACATAACATTGTAAACTGATATACTTCAGTTTTAAAATAAAAAAGACAACAACAAAAAAAGAAAGCACCCCCCCTTCCAACAATAGAGAACCAGGCAGGGCCGGGATGAACGGCAAGAACGAAGGCCTGTGGGAGGGTCCTCACTCATCTGGGGAGGAGGAGAGGCAGCAGAGCTGGGAGTGCCCCCAGCAGGCCTTTTGTTGCACAGTCAGCAGAAGAGGCCCTGCAGTGGGAGGGCCCCAGCTGGGAGGGGGGCTGGCTGCAGACCCTCCGGGGCCCCAGGCCTACCGTGTGGGGGACAGAGAATGCAACTGAGAGTCCTCTTGATGCAGGAAAAATGAATGTGGGGCATGAGGAGGGCCGTGTCCTGGGTCTCGGTTGAGTCCCTGGGATGTGCCCACCAAGTGTGGATCCTTGGCTTCTCGCAGGAAAGAATTCAAGAGCGAGCCACAGCTGAGTAAAGGTAGATTTATTTGGAGAGATACATACTGCATGGAGTGTAGGCTGTTTCAAAAGGCGAGAGAAAGGCCACCAGATGTGTGGGTTGGGTGCTCAAGTTAAAGCAGAAGTAGGTACACACTCCAGAGACAGAGTGCAGGCCGTCTCCAAAGACAAGGGAGCGAGAGAGGCCATGAGGTACTACAGTGTTGCCAGTTTTTACAGGCTCGGTAGCTTCACATGCCTACAAGTGGGAGGACCATTCCAACTTCCCTGGGAAAGGGGCTGGGATTCCCAGGACACCCACTCTTTGGCCTTTCCTGGTTAGTCTTGGAACTGTCATGGCGCCTGTAGGCATGTTATTTATCATGCAAATATATTGCAATGAGTGTATAATGAAGCTCCAGGTCTACTAGAAGTCAAATCTCCCACCATCTTGATCCTCAAGGCCAACTGGGAGTTGAATCTTCCGCCATTTTGGTGTTAATTGCTGTGTCATTCCTTGAATGGCTGTGCTCTGCCCCCTTCCCTCCTGTCCCACTCTCACTGCCCTTGAACCTTGGACGGAGGCCAAGGGCATGCTGCAGGAACCATCGGATCCTAGAGGAACATCAGGTGACAAAGAGAAAAATTTTAAAGCTTGAGCTGAACTGTTGTGTGTGCATTTTAGCTGCTACCACACTTGCCTGTTCTTTTGCCCTTGTCCCTCGCCAAGGTTGCCAGGTGATAGGCACTCCTACTCCTGATCCCCTGGGGACATGAGAGCCCTGGGCTGGGTCTGTCCCAACACCCCTGTGAGACTGGCCCTGGGGCAGATTCTTAATCCTATTGTATTATGGAACCCTGACAAGGTACCTAGACTGCCCTACTCAGAACACTGATTTTAATTCCATGAGATAAAATACTGGGATTACAAAGGAGGCCAACGATCCTGAAATTGGTGTCAAAATAGTTTTTAAAAATCTGTCATATAGTGACACATGTGCTTCCTAAAAATTAGATCAAGTTGCAGGTCTATAACTACAGTAATTTCAAAGTAGTGATGAGCATAAATGATGTTTTGAGATATCCCCAACAGTTAAATAATGAGTTATCGAAATATCTATGACTCCTATTGTGAATAAAATCACACACTTTTGAGGGAAATGCTAAATTTCAGTTAAAGGCCGGGAGAAAATGAAGGTAATGTTTTCCCCCATTCCTGTTCACAGACCCACACAATGTGATCCAGCGCTCTTGGAATGCCAGGGACTCCAGGTTAAGAACACGGCAGGCACACTGAGGGCTGTGATCACCTACCAGAGGGTCCCTCTGAAAGTCTGGTCATGGTTTTCAAAGCAGCCGAATCTGCCTGTTTTGAAGCCGAGCAGCAGTGGGAAGAAAGAGCGAGCAAACGAGCTGGTGGTGGGAGAAGGAACAGTCCATCAGAGTGGGCTCAGGACTCAGACTGGGATGGATCCGAACCCCCACTGGTTGTCCTGGGAATCTGCATTTTAAACAGAAGCCCTGGTGATAACTTCCACAAACATCCTAGAACTTTCCTGGTGCCTGTCCCAACCAGAGACTCAAACCAGAAGGATGGAGCCCCAGGAGGCTCCTCACACCTCCTCTGACTGGAGCGCAAGTGGCATCGTTGCTGGGAGGTGAGCCAGCAGCTTCTGGCCCTCCGGGGCCCCTCCGAGTGTAAGTGATGCCTGAAACGTGAGGCCACACCGCCCCTTCGCAGGGAAACCTGAGCGGTGGAGTGTGCAGCCGGATTGAAGGGCTGGGAACCTACCGCCTCCGTCCCTGCCTCTCTCCCAAACTTCACCCACCTCCACATTCAATCTCAAAGAAGCCAAGGAGCCCAGGAAAGGAGGCCAGCCACCATGAGGTCAGCAAACACCCCAGGCTGAAGGTGCCTGTGGATGAGCAAGCTTCGTGAACCCTGCTGACCATGAGCCGCCAGCTAAAGGGCCAAGGGGAGGAAGGTGAGTCCGCCCTCATCTCTGCAGGGTCCACTCACAGGGCTTCTGGACAGCAGGGAACCGGGAAGCAGATGGGGTCTTTTGAGGTACAAGGGTCTGTGTTTGAGTGCAAGGTCAGCCACTTGCTCGATGAGCAACCTCAGTCTGGTTGTGCAACGTCTCCCTGCCTCATCCACAAGATGAAGGCAGCCACAGCCCCCTTGCAGGGCTGTCAGAGGGACTAAGAGACGCTCGTGTCTGTGTTAATGTTGAGAACAGAGGCTGCCAGAACCTGCCGGGCTCCCTCAGCCTCCCGCAGTCCTGGTCAGCATCACCTTTCCTTAGCAATCCCCTCCACAGATTTCTCTGTCTGTCTGTCTGTCTGTCTGCCTGGGGTTGTGGAGATGTTCTGACCTCATGACTCTCCAGGGTGTCAGAGGAAGGTCAGGATGAGGGAATCTGGAGCTCATTGAGTTAAATAGTTGGAGCCAGGTTCCCTATGAGGCTCTGTAACCAGCTGGGGGTTCCCGCAGTGCGATGAGGGTGGTGCAGGGAGGGGACCCACCAGAGGTCAGCCATTCATCCCTGTTCCGTCTCTTACAGCAGGAGGTGGCGTGAGGGAGCAGGCGAGGAGCGGCTCTCCGGGCACAGGTGAGATAGGGGTGGGGTGTCCAGGGGGCCCTGCAGTCCGGCCACCGACCCAGCCTTCTCTTTCATCCTCCTGCCTCCCTCCCTCCCTCCCTCCCCTTGTAAGGAGGTAGTTTCATTGCGGAGAGGGGGCGAGTGCTGTTCAGAGAGGGCCTGCCCTCAGCCCCAAGTGTCAAGGGAGAGGCCCAGAGTTAGTGACACTGAGTTGAGCCTCAGGGAGCAGTGAACACTCACTCACCAGGCTGGGGGGCTGGGAGGCGGGTGGGCAGTGGAGCCGGGCTCACACTCAGGCCACCTGACTCCCAGGGGCACACCCTCACCCTCCACGAAGTACTGGCAGTGGTGGGTCACCTTCCCATCAGGAATATGGACACAGCCCTTCTGTGAGCCAGCTAGGGCTATCCGGAGTGGGTCACCAGCTCCTGGAGATGCTGAAGAGCCAGTGGAAGTCACAGGTGGAAGAGAAGACCCTCTGCTGCCTTCAGGAAGGCGAGAGCCACACCCATGGGTCGGGCATCCTGCACTTTAGGTCAGGAGACGTGTGGGTACAGTGCCATTTTCTCCTCGCAGCCTAGGCAGGGCCCTGCTTGTAGGTGGAGAAGCAGAAATCTCAGGAAGTGATAGACTTCTCAGAGGGGAAGGCCGGTTGGAAGAGATCCTCTTGCCTCATTCTGAGGGGAAAGGCCTTGTCCTGACCCCCTACACTGGCACACAGTATGTGGAGGAACTGGCCATAGGATCCAACCCATCTACCTCCTCTGCCAGTACCTTCTGTCTTGCACTCACTGCTCCCCCACTGCCAGGGCCTGAGCCTCTGGTGAGGCAGCCCCATGACAGTGGGGACAGGGGGACCCAAGAGCAAGATGTGCAGAGGGGCCCGGGATCTGGCAGGAGGGAGGCCATGGAGGCAGCACTGGAATCTCTGCACTCCTTCCTGCCCCCAGAGCTGCCTCATGGCCACTATCCCACTTCCCCACCCGTCCTGCCTCCCCATCCAGTCCTCATGTCTGTCCAGAGACATGGGAGCGAGTGTGAGAAAGTGCTCGGTGCCCCAGTGTGGCTGGACCAGGACCCGTCCTTGGGGAGAGTCAGTTCCCTTGGTGACGCTGGGTGTAGTATGCCCAGGTCTAGTTCTCCATGTCCCATTTCCCTGTGGTCCTCCAGCTGCTGTCCCTTCTGCACCCAACCTGGCCCCGCTCTGCCCCAGCTGAAGGGGCCAGCCTTGCAGAGGTCACCTGTGGGCAAATGGTTCTTGAGCAGGACTGAAATGGGAAGTCATTTTGCCTAAAACACAAACATTTGTCTACTGAAATGTGCCACATACACACACACACAACCCCCGCCCTCTGGCCATTTTCTCTTACGCATGGAAAAGAGGAAATGGGTCCAGATTTTCACTTCAGGGACACAAATGGTCAAGGGATGCAATGAAATTAGAAAATGGGAATCTATTACATTAACTGAAGTGCAATTGCATAAAGATTTCCTTTTAAAATCTCCTCTGGATTCACCTCTGAAGGACCCGATATCCTATTCCTCCAGCTTATGGTCTACAAGAAGGAAAAAATGTCTGAGGATACTAGGTTTGTTTCGCAAAATAATTACAATTTGTTCTTCCATTCATTGAAAAGGAGGATCAGAATTCGCCCTCCTCTTGTATTTCGGTGAGTGTACTTAACTGTTAAGAGTTGGCGGATAAGCCGGGCCTACTGGGCCTTCCAGCTTCTCTGTTTTCCTTTCAGCCTCTTTTCCCCTCTGAATTTTCTAACTTGAGTCAGATACATAAAAGCAAGGAGGTCTGTTTTGTGTAAGCGAGTGCATTCAGGTTTTGGAGGTCTTCCTAATGTGACAGCTGCCTTCCTAGCTCCTAAATTATGTATTATGTGGAGTCTGTATTGACTATGAAAGAAAAACTTAGAAAGCAGCTAGCTTTCTGTGTAAAAGAGGCTTAGGGGAAGATTGAAGGGCAAATTCTGGCTTGCTCTCCACATTTCACATGAATTCTATTCTGTTGGGAAACAAGATTGCAACAGGAATTACAGCTTGGAAAAAATAAATGAGCCTCCAAGGTATGCCTACAGTGCTTGGACGAATACCTGGTAGGTACAGTTCGTTATGAAAAAGGAAATTGTTTCTTAGCTGATCAGGGACACACAAGAGTTCAGAAGAGGATGCAAACATATATTGACTTTCTCATCCAGTCCTTTCAAGCAATGTGGAGCTGGTCTTGGATGACCCAGAGACCCTTCTCCTTAATTTCTCGTCCATGCCCTCTGCTCCTCTGCCCTCTCTGAGAGCCTGGCTCAGTCCTAGAGCTCTGCCTGGAGTCATAGCTGCGGGGATATACACTTTCTCACATTCACTCCCATGTCTTTGGAGAGAGTGGATTTGTTTCTGGCCAAAGCCTCTCAGAGCATGGGGAAGAACAAACCCATCTTCCCCTGGCTAATACTGACCAGCTTCCTAACTTGGATGAGTTATTATTACACTTAAATAATTTGTTGTTGCGCTGTCTTACCCAAAACCCTCTTCCCATAGGAAGTGAGAAGGAGGAGAGGTGAGGGCAGGGGTGGGTAAGGGAAACCTGCCCCGCCATAATGCGATCGCCTGTCTTTGAGTCTGTAACCAGCACTCAGTACTCTTCACTCTGTCTCATCAGAGCCTGCAGTAATGGCAGCAATTGGAAACCAAAACAAAGCTTTTCTGGGGTCCTTTCCACCCACTCACTGCCTGACCCTGCCCGACACCTGCTCACTGTACACCCCCACACTCTAGCTTCAGATCTCAGTTTAGACGTTTCTACCTCCAGAATATCTTCCTCAAATCTGGGTGAAGCCCACCACTGCGCTTCTTGGATCCTAGAACTGATCACATGCCCTGTCTCTCCCACTAACTCAAAACTTGGTGACAGAAAGGATCTTGTTGGTGTCATTTACTGCTCTAGCCCTGTACCTTGAGCCGTGTCCAGTCAATGATCAACAGTGGTTTCGTACGGGTGAATGAGTTAGTGAATAAAAGGACAAATGCATCTCTTTTGAGTTTTTGACCAACTCAGTCAGCCAGGCAGGCATCTTGTCAGTTTGAATATGCTACCAATATCCTAGCTTGAGATCCAAGGAGGGGACTTTGGCTAGTTTATCTTATCATTGAACCTCAAAGCTAACCCTGTTTGCTCAATCCAGCATGCCCCAGCTTATATCACCCTTGCACAGATACTGTCTCGATTGGACTTAAAAAACCCACCATACTTTGAGAGAGGTGCCTGTCGGTAGGTCAGGTTCCCTGGAAGCAGGGGTTGTGATGGGGATTCTCGCGCATGTGGTTTATCGTGGGCAGCTCTCAGGAGACAAAGAGTGAGGGAAGCAGGACAGTGCAAGGGAAGGAGCTGAGCAAAGATGTGTGTTCATCCAGAGTCTAGCCTCTGCCTGATCCCACGGGGAGCTCTGGAGCACAAATGAACCACAGACTTGCTCCGCCTTGAGGCAGGAGGACTGGGCTTTTGTACCGCATAATAATTAGCAATTGGCTGTGGGCTGACTTGAAGACAGGACAAGGATGTAAACTCCCAGGCATTTCCCAGCAAGATGGTTTCCATCAACCACAGGCTGTCTTGGGAAGGGAGAAGCTGTGAGCTGTGAAAGCCAGCATCCACAGCGGCTAAGGGCAGATGCAGTGGCCAGGTAATGGGGGTCTGGGTAGACCACCAACAGCACATCCCTGAGTACCCACAAGGATGCTGATTCAGAGAGAACAAGCAACCTGCCCAGAGTTACCCAGCTAATAACCAGCAGAACAGGACTCTGGCCCGAGACATCTAGACTCTGAATCCCCAGCTCAGTTGCCCCAGTCCAGCCCCCCCTACTAGGGCCTTTGTTGAGTAGACCCTATGAGCCAGACCCTTTATTCCTGTTTTTTAATTAACCTTCCCAACCATGTAGGGAAATAGGGGCTACTGGAGCCATTTTACAGTGCAGAAAAGCTGTAATTTATCTGTGGTCACAGGTTAAATAGATGATAGAACTGATATTTTCATGTAGACCGGCCTAGCTCCAAACCTGTATTCTTTTTACAAGTAAAGAGATCTTACTGAGTGTCAGAGTAATGGCATCTGTTCTTGGGGGGAAGGTATAGCTCAGCGGTAAAAGTGCATGCCTAGCATGCACAAGGTCCTGGATTCAAACCCCAGTACCTCCGTTAAAATAAATAAGTAAATATATAAACTTAGTTACCTCCTCCCCAAAACAAAACCAATAAAAAAAAATGACATCTCTTCTCAAATGTCAGTCACTGCCATGTTCATTAACGCACTAATGGAGCATTAACACCCCCATGTTAGGAGATGAACTGAGACTCAGAGAGGTTAAGTGACTTGCTCAAAGACACCCAGCTAGTAAGTGGTGCAAAGGTTGGTTATTAATATCAGAACCTGGTTACAATTTTTCCTACATTTAATTTATAAATGCCTGTATAGGATAGTTGTGCTTAAACTAGTGGTTGGGCAAACTCTTGGGGAAATTTCATGCTGTAGAGTAGATTCTGCTCAGCCAGGCCATTTGTCAATGCTGTGAAGTCATGATTTAAAACAACAACAACGTTCAGGCAGCGCTGAGGACCAGGACGGGAACTTACTCTGCTGCACTCACCTCCTGTCCTTTCCTTTATGCCAGGCGGGGAGTGAGGGGAACAGAGCCAGCCAGGGCCCTTCCTGTCTCAGGGGTCCAGCCTTACCAAACAGAGGCCCGTGCTTGGCCTTGGCCCTGAGGATCAGGAGACAACTCTGCTCTGACCCCAAGGGACTGCACCCCCAAGAAGAGGAAAGCAGGTGCCTAGGTCTCTACCCGAGGTTATGTGAGAGTGTGCGAGTGCCAGCCAGTCAGAGGAAGGAGACAACTTTGATCCATACCAGAGGCTGTGTCTGAAAGAAGTGGCCGTTGGAACCGATAAGCTCCAGGAAGCATCCTGGACACCTGATTTCTCATAGCAGAGGGTTGTGGGGGCGGCGTTTTCCTGGAGTCAAGGCCCACGCAGCAAGGACTGTTCATTCCCTGCCTCTGCAGGTGACAGGTCTGGGAAGAGACCCTCGAGGAAGCGGACTTACAAAGCCGAGGATGCACCGGGCAGGCGTGGAGTCCAGCCTGGCCAGAAGGAGCGGGCTGGGGGCAGCCCGAGGCCGGGGTCTCCCCGGAGGAAAGAGGCAGAGCGCAGGGGACGCCAAGAGCAGCTGGGGGAGCGGGAGCGGCGAAGCGCAGCAGAGAGGACCAGCGAAGGGAGGAGGAAGAGGGACAGGACGGCTTCCCTCAGGGAGCAGAGAGCACCCCCAAAGAAGGAAAAGGAAGCGATGTGGAAGCAGCTGAAGAAACACAGGTGTGTTGTGACCCGGATTCAGGCACGTTTCAGTCTGCCCTCTCCCTCTACCCCCAGCCTTGCTCCCTTCCTTGATCTCAGCTAGATGTCCCCTCCCTAGTGAAGGGACGGCCCCTGCTGTCTCCTCCTGCCTCTCTTTGCCCCTGCCTTTGCTCCAGCCCAGCTCTCTGCGTCTGGTCTGCAAGGAACCAGGATGAGGATCACAGCCATCCCCGGGGGAGTGGCCACTGGCACTGCCAACTCAAACCCCTCCTATAGCGTAGGTGCAAGCAGGGGCTCCGAGTGGGGAGGTGACATGGCAGCAGGATGGGACAAGATCCCAGTCATCCTGAGTTTCAGCTGCTGACACACCAGTAGCTCTTGATGAGAGCAGAGAGAAATTAACAAAATGAATTCAGAAATCATCACAATTTCCCACTCTGACCTGTGTCCTCTTCTGTGAAATGTGGCTTTGCTCTAGAAGACCTTCAAGAGTTCCGCCAGCTCTGAAATTCTAAGATTTGGGGGTTTGATTTATTTGCTGTGTTTCCTTTGTTCCATTAGCATTCGCACACGGGTGGTGGACAGAGCCAGTTTATGGAATCAGTTGGGATTTTAATTTCATTTTTTGCTTCTGATTTTGATGGGACATCTCCCCCTCTTTGCCTCCCTTTTTCACTTCACTCACTTCTCAGGCTGTTTTAAGAATCCCTATTGATAATAGGCAGGGAGGCTTTTGAAGCAGTTGGAAACAATTTGAAACAGTTGAAGAGTTTTGAAACCAGGATTGTGGTGAAGAGTTGGTGCTCCTCCCACTGGGTTCTAACAGACTTTCTTTGCCTACATCCTCATTCAGGTGTCCCACCAGACTTCTCTAACTTCACAGAGAGGAAATTGAGGCCCTCAGAAGGAGCCACTGGTTTCTTCCGTCACCCGTGCCAGCCACCCCTGGCCCAGTTAGGGCCTTTGTCTATTATCTGGTTGTCCTTGGACATGAACTAACAGGGTAAAGGGTGCACGGTGTCCTTAGCAACTGAAGGAGAACTTGAATGCATCACTAATGGGTCCTGGAGCATCCTGAATTTTAGAGGGAGGCTATCCCATCCAAAACAGACCACAGGTGTCTGGATGCCAGATACAAAATGGCCTTTGTGTCATTTTCAGCTGAGTGCCCTGGCAGGACAGAGAAAGATGAAGAATGCCCAGTCCTGTTCCCCAGATGCTGACAGTCTAGCAGGGGAAATAGAACAGGGCATCAGCTGTCATAAGACAAAGCAGAACGCAGTGCGTAAACGAGAAAGGATTTGATGAGTGTGTGTTGTTGGGGGATGGGGCATCAGGGTTCCTCCACAGAGAAGGAAAGCATTTCAATAAGGCTTGGAAGCACAGGTGGAGTTAGGACAAGCAATGGGAGGCAACACTATGCAGACTCAAAGGCAGATCTCCTAGGATGTGCAGGAGATAAGACAAAAAGTCCCTGTGCTCCAGGCTTTCCAGCGCTCAAGGGCTAGGGCCCCCTCCTCTTCACTTCCCTCCTATGATCTCTCCTTTGCTTCTCAGGAGTTAATGAGAAGCTAAATCTCACAGAGGCTGCTTCAAACTGGTCTCTAAAACCTGCAATAACCAAAGCCCACATCCTGGTATTTCCATGTAGGAAACTTGCCAAGTTAAAGACTGCGCAGGCAGAACCCTTCCCCAGCTCTTCCCTCACCACCCATCAGCTGCTGCCAACTCAGCTGAGAGTCACTGTTTTTGAGTGAAGGAGGCTGTGAGCAGCACAAACAAGAACTTGGATTTTGCAGCATCTGAGTACACACTCTTGTCTGTGAGTTGGCGAGGGTCATCACACCGTCCAGCTGGGCATTCTCTGCAGCTGTGTTGTCCAGTACACTAGCCACTAGCCACACGTTGGGCACTTGAAATGTGGCTGGTGTAACTGAGGAACTGAATTTCTTTTCTTTTTATTTATTTTTATTTTTTACTGAAGTGTAGTTGACTTACCACATTAGTTTCAGGGGTGCAGCAAAGTGATTCAGTTATACACATACACACAAATATATATACATATATTTTCAGATTCTTTTCCATTGTGGAACTGAATTTCTAATTCAATTTAATTTTAATTCAGTATTAATACCACTGATTTAACCCAAGAGCTAGTGAATTTACTTAACTTGAACAGACAAATGTAGTTCTGAAAATGATTTAACTTTCAAGCCAAAGCATTTCTTCTTAAAAAAAAAAAAACTAATTTTGTCAATACAGAATGCGAAAGTCCAAGGAAAATGATATTCTGTTACTTGATTCATTTATCAGGAAACTTAAGCATGTCTAAAACAATGTGGGTATGTGAATCTACTCTTTCAACTACATATATTATGAAATCTAAATACAGATTAAATATGTTCAGTGAAAATTTCACGTCTGATGACATCTGCTGTGAGGACAAGTCGAACGTCGGATTTTTAAGACAGTACAGAAAGAATGTAAAATATCTCGTTAGTAATTTTTACATTGACTACATGTTGAAATTATAATTTTAAATATATTGGGTTAAATGGAATGTGTTATTGGTAGGGAGAGTATAGCTCAGTGGTAGAGCGTGTGCTTAGCATGCATGAGGTCCTGGATTCAATCCCCAATACCTCCCTCCATTAAAATAAATGAATAAAAATAAATAAACCTAATTACTTGCCCCTCCCTCCAAAAAAAACACACACACAAATTTTTGTCTGTTTCACATTGTTTATTTAACAACAGGTAATAAGAAATCAAATTTAATAGTCTGTACAATGATCCAAACTTCATATCTATAAGTAATCAGCTTTAATTGCATGATTTACAAGTTGAGGGTTTTTGCTTTCTATTTTCAAGAACAAAAAAAATTTAATGAAATGTATTTTAAAATTAATTTTACCCACATCCTTTTATCATTTTAATATGGCTACTAGAATTTTTTAAATTAAAATACATGGCTCATATTTATTTCCATCAGGCAGCCCTGCACTGGGGTGTGTTGTGTTGGGAGGACTCAGAGAAATGGAGATTGGGGAGCAGCCCTGGCGGTGGCTTGGGCTGCAGGACAGGGTGGTGGCCTCCTCTGCCAGGAGGTGGGAGTTGAGCAGGGCAGGCCTGTGCAGGTGGTCAGAGCTGGGAGCGTGGGGAGCATGGCCCACCTGTCTTGCTGTGGTCTCCTCGCATCCCCCAGAACACCTGAGGACCCTTGCCTCCTCCTCACTCTCCTCTGCTCCTCCCTGCCTCTGCTCCAGGTCTTCCTCCTCGGCCTCCAGTGCCCCTTGTGGGGAGTCTCTGTCTGAGGAGGAACTGGCCCGGATTCTGGAGCAGGTGGAGGACAAGAAGAAGCTCATTGCCACCATGCGGAGCAAGCCCTGGCCCATGGCGAGGAAGCTGATGGAGCTCAGGTGAGCGGGTGTGGTCAGTCAGGGCCTCTCCACGTTCAGAAGGCTCAGCTCCGCTGATGGGTATGGGAGTCCCTTCCTCCTCTCCACCCCAAGAGGGCTTGACAAGAAGCGGGATTCACCCTCCCGCCCTGCTTTGGTCCCCCACCTCGTCCCCGACACAGCACAGCGCTGAGAGGGGTGCCCATAGAGCCGGGCCTGTTGGCCAGCGATGAGGATCTTGGCCCTCTGGCAGTGCCCCACCCCTCGCTGCCTGGCCAGCTCTTCTGTCCCAAGTTCCACTTCATCTGGTGGCTTCTGTGCCTCCCTCATAACCCAGCGGAGATGCCTTCTTCGAGGGGCTTTCTGTGACCCCCACCTCAACAAGTTCAGACCTCTCGTGTTCTTCAAGCACCACAGTCTCTCCATGTGTCACACACTCACGTGCAGCGTGGAGAGCAGGGAGAGGGTCTGTCTTAGCTACGCTTGTGTCTCGAATACCTACGTGGGGCCAAGCTTGCAGTGATGCTGCATGAGTACCGTCTGGCCCCGTACCCTCGCCCCAACTGCTATTTTCAACTCAGCCACTTCCCTGGTTTCCGTAAGACAGGCCGGCACACCAAGCGTTTTATAGCTCAAGTGCCTTCTGTACTTTGGAGAGAAGGACAGGAAGTTTCTACTTAAAAAGTCCCATCCAACGCTACCAACTTCCTCCAAGTCCCGCCTCAGTCTTTCTACCACAAGTTTGGGGTGACGCCCCCTTCCTCCTTCCTTCTGGGTAAAGCCATTTCCCTGGCTCCTCTCACACCTGAGTTGCCTCATTGCTCAAGTCAAACGCCTCGCCCTTTATCACATAGAACAGTTTGGCTGCCATATTTTGACGTTCAGCCTCACTGTTTGTGCACAAGAGGCCCAGCAGAGATGCCGGCTGCGCAAACACAGTGCAGACCCTGGCAAGAAGCCTGGTAAACAGACCTTACTCCACTGCCCTGCAAATGTTTGCATTTTCTCCAACTCTGCTGCAGGAAGAAGTGGCTCCGTGCAGTGCCCTCCAGGCCAGCGCTGACCAGCAAAACTTTCTCTGATGGTGGAAGCGTTCTAAATCTGCACTAATAGCGCAGCCGCCAGTCACATGTAGCTAGTGAGCACTTGGCAAGTGGTCAGTGCAACTGAGAGATGAAATATTTGTTTTATTTTAACTTATTTCAATTTAAATCATCACATGTGGCTGGTGGCTGCAGTTTGGGCAGTAAGGACAGCTGCAGGCAGTGGGCTGTCTGCCTTCCCACCTCTCTTTTTCTGAGTCTCTTCTTCCTGATCCCCCAGGGCTGGGTTCTTCCTCCTTCCATCTGTCACTCTGACAGAACCTCACCCCCACTCAGGTGTCACCTGAACACATCTTTTATTAACAGTGGAAAAAGAGCAACCTTGATGCTTATGGAAATGAGATCTCCAGCTAGCTGGAAGTCTCAGGGACCATGAAAATCCCTGAGGGCCATTCAGCTGGCCAGAGGAGAAGTCTGCTCTGGGTGGGAGTGGGAAGTGGCCAAGGCCTGAGATGTTGAAAAGACTCTTGTCTCTCTCATTGGAGCAGGGCTCCCTGACAGACAGTGATCTCTTCCCGCCAGTCCTCCCTCCTTCCTCTTCCCTCTTACAAGACTCTCTATCCCAGACTCAAGTCTTGGGCTCTCCAGCCTCTGGGTCTTCACCCCAGCAATGCCGCTGCCAGCCCACCTGGCCACTTCCTAATACACCCTGTGAGACTCAGGCCACGTGTCCCCACTACAGGCAAGTCCCATTGCCCCTCCCTGCATTCAGACTGAGTTAGTTACTGCCTCTCCGATCCCCGAGACGCTGCCCCTCACTTGCCTGGATGCTCTTGTGTGCAGAGCTGTGTCTTACTCATCTTTTACTATTCTTTCTTTTTTTTACCTATCACCAACATTTGCTGAGCGCTCCCGATATGCCAGCAACTGTTCTGGGTGCTATATGTGTAACAATTCATTTCATCCTCATAATCACCCGCTGATGTAGGTGCTATTGTTATTGCCTCCATTTTCCTGATGAGCAAACTGAGACACAGAGCAGTCTAGTAATTTGCCCAAGGTCACACAGTGAGTTAAGTGGAATTCTGGCTCCAGAACCTGCACTTTTAAATGTAATTGCCTGTCTAGAATTACTAGACATTCTAGAATATACCTCTTTGTCTCCTGTATGATTTCCTCTTCTGGCAGTAAGGTCTTCAACTGCAGATAGCATCCCCAGACTGTATCGTTTTTTTAGAAGCGATGGTGTGGGAACCCTAGTCTCTGGCCCACTCAGGCAGCTGGCTGACCTCAGCATAGTTGCTGTAGACAATCAGAGAAGGATGTTAAGGTATAAAGAGCAATAGCAGTGAACTGGGGCAAGCTTACATTCATACCTCTACCATATCTGGGTGGCTTTGGCTGGCTATTGAATCCCCTTCAGGCTGATTTCCTTCCCTTAACCTCCGTAAGCTTCCCATCCCTTATTTGTTAAAGTAGGAATAATAATAATATCTCCCTTGCAGAGTTGTTCTGACAAATGCAAAATATTTATTTACATGCCCAGTATATTGTATGCAATCAATAAGTAGTAGTTATGGCTACTGTTAAAGCATGAGCATCTTTTGTGCCAGACACCATGCTGAGCTCTGAGAGGAGAATGGTAAGCATATATGAATCAGAGAAGACATCATTAATGTCCACATTAGTAATGACACAAGGCAGGCTGTGATGTTGGCAGAAGAACCTCTAATGCCCATGAGTTAGGGATATTTGCTTTAATCATAGAATTAACCAGGTGTGTCCCTCAGCTTTGTCAGAAACCTGATGTGTTAGAAAACTACCCGAAGTGCTTGCTTCCTTCAGAGAGATCTGAAGAATTCTACCTCCAGGAAGATGGAGTGGACATACTTCTCCATGTTCTTCCCACTAAGTACACCCTAAACCCTGGATAGTGTATGTGAAGCAAAAATTAGAAACTCAGAATGGTGGAGAGAAGAAGGCAGACTGGCTAAGGACCTCAGGGCCAAAGAATGACAGGGCACTGAGTTCCAGATTTCCTTTTTGCCTTATGTATCCAGACTGGATAATGGAGAAGCTGGCAGCCCCAAAATGCCAACAGACACAGACAAAAACAGTTCAAGAAAAGTTTGCTCTCTCTAGCTGAAGGATCAGGAAAAGGACAGCCTGGCAAGGCAGAAAACTTGTAGACAATAACAACCCTATTCCAGCCAAACACCACAAGCAAAAGAGCAGCCCTAGTTCCACCCCAGCAGCAAAAGCCAAGTCGGGAAGCCTAGCTTTCCTCCATGCCAGGCTGTAACATGGTGCCCACAATCCTTCCACTAAGGTGCTGAAGAAGGCCAAGTGGAGAGCAGAGACTTTCATCCCTACTGGGCAGTAATGAACCCTCCCTCTCCCCATGGTATCAGTGGAGGCCGCATGGGGAGTCTAAACTTTCACCACCAGCTGGCAGTTACAAGGTATCCCTTCCAGCCAGGATGATGTGAGCCTGAACTCCCATCCGTGGTGGGAGCCTGAACTCCCAGCTCTGCTCAGTAGTAACAAGGAGCTCCGGCCCAGCCCCAGGTGTCAAAGGAAGCCAAGTGAATAATCTGGACTTCCACCTGGAAGTAACCAGGCAGCATCCCCCTTCAGCTACTGGAGTGGTGTCAGTGGAGTCCTGCTTAAACACAGGATTTAAATACGATCCAGAGCCTCATAATGTAATATCTCAAATGTCCAGGCTTCAGTTGAAAAATCCCTCATCATACCAAGAACCAGGAAGATCTCAAACTGAATGACAAAAGATAATCAACAGATGCTAACATCAAGATGACACAGATGTTAGAATTATCTGACAAAGATTTGAAAGAAACCATCATAAACAGATTTCAGTAAGCAATTATGAACATGTGAAAGAAATGAAGAAATAGAATGTCTCAGAAAATGAAAACATATAAAGAAGAACAACTGGAAATTTTAGAAGTAAAAAATATAGTAACTAAAATTTTTAAAAACTCAGTGAATGGGCTGAACAGCAGAATGCAGAGAACAGAGCAGAGAATCCATGAAGGTGAAGGTAGAGCAAGAAGAATCACCCAATCCAAACTACAGAGAGAAAAAGTGAACAGAGCCTCAGAGACATGTGGGACTATACTAAATGATCTAACATTAGTGTCTCCTCCAAATCCCTTGTCCTCGATATGAAAGGAAAAAAAGAGTCTTAAAAGAAAAGAAGAAAGGGAGTGGGGCTGAAAAAGTCTTCAAAGATATAATGACTGAAAGTTTCTCAAATTTGGCAAAACAGAAAGCTAAACAAAACCCAAACAGGGTAAACCCAAAATAATCCATGTTCATACACATCATGGTCAAATTTCTGAGTACTTACAAGCAGTCAGAGAGAAACAATGCATTACTATGGAAGAAAAACAATTAGAATGACAAATTTCTCATCAGAAGCCATGGAGGGCAGAAGGTGTTGACACAATTCTTCAAGTGCTAAATGAAAAGAATTGTCAGCCCAGAACTCTATATCCAGGAAAAATATCCTTCAAAAATAAAGGAGAGGTGGGGAGGATACAGCTCAGTGATAGAGCTCATGCTTAGCATGCACAAGGTCCTGGGTTCAATCCCCAGTACCTCCATTTAAAAAAAAAAAGGCTATACAAATAGATACACTCAAAAGTGCTTTAGATGAAACAAAATGGAGTCCTAACAATGTTCAAGAAACCCACAGAAAAGCATGAAAAAAAGGAAAGCAAAAATGGAAAACATAACAGAAACCAAGAAATAAAATGACAGGTTTAAACCATAATATATATATAATTACATCAAATGTTAGTGATCTAAATACATCAATTAAAAGACAGAGATTGGCAGAGTGGATTTAAAAGATGATCCAACTATATGCAGTCTATAAGTAACTCACTTTAACACAATGTATGTGTGCTGAGAGTAAAAGGATGGCAGAAAATATACTACGCAAACATTAGCCGAAAGGAAGTAGGAGAAGCTATGTAAATATCAGATAAAGTCAACTTCAGAGTAAAGAAATTACCAGGAAAGAGAGGGACACTACATAATGATAAAAGGACCAATCCACCAAGAAAACAGGATAATCCTACACACATACGCACCAAAGAGATCAGTGGCTTGGATTCTACGGTGTATTAATTTTCAAGTGCCGTGTAACAAATTACCCCAAAAGTTAGTAGTTCAAAACAATAATAAACATTTATTATCTTTTATTGTTCAGAAATTCAGGAGCCGCTTAACTGGGCAGTTCTGGCTTGGGGTCTCTCATAAGGTTGAGTCAAGATGTTGGTCAGCACGTCAGCCTTCAGAGGATAGGGCTGGTGAATCCACTTCCAAGGTTGCTTACATGGATGAAAAGTTGGTTCTGGTTGTTAGCAGGGGGCTCAGGCCTCTCCATAGGCTGCTTAAGTGTCTGCCTAACAAGGCAGCTGGCTTTCCCCAGAAGAGGTGGATTTCAAAGGGAAAGCCACAAAACCCTTTATATCCTAGTCTCAGAAGTCATAAACTATTGCTTCTACCATTTTCTAATCATTGGAAGCAAATCATTAAGTCTGGCCCACATTCAAGGGGAGAAGAATTCAGTTCTACATTTTAAAGGGAGGAATGTCAGATAATTGCTAACATAGTTTAAAACCACCACATATGGGAAGCCAGGCAAACTAAGTTAACCTCAGCTGCCCTCAGACTGATTCAGTGACGTCCCTAGAGCAGATGCCGTGCCTGGCTGATCTGAATTTCTACTTAGAGTGAGCTCAACATGTTTGATCCTTGTCTCCACAACTGAAAAATAAAAACTGCTTCGGGACAAAGGAAAACAACAAACCAGCATAGCCCACATCACCTTCGACCTCTAGCCACCTCCAGCCATCTCCTTTTGGCCACCTGTGTTTTCTGCCTTTATCCAGATGTCTTCTGGAACTCAGGCTGGCCGATACACTCTCCCAGCATTCTGCATGGGACAGCAAAGCTCTGTAAGGATGCCACCAGATGCAAGCTGCCCTGTGTCTATTTTTACCTCTGCTTCTCAAAATTAAGGGGGAGGTTTTGGAGGTATATAGTCTCTCTGAGAGATGCTTTAGGTCAACTTCAGAGTGTTCCCTCGTCCAGGCAACTTGGGGAGCAGAGGGCTCCTCACATCAGCTCCCTGGGCTAGTACAGAAACTTATCAGCTGCTCACTCCAGGAGCTGCTGTTTTCCCAGAAGGGGGCGGGTGACTGCCTGCTAAGAGAAATCACTGTGCTCACCTCACACATATTTACATATTTAAGTCTCATAACATTATCCCCATTTTTAGATGCAAGCTCTGCCACTCCAAAAGGCAGAGAATCCTGCCTGGGTCTCTCCGGCACTAAAGCCACACAATACACCCCTTCTCTCCCAGCAGTAATCACTGGCCACCCTGACTGTGTCTCCCCAGCTGCTATTTAGGCCACTTTATTGACAAGAATATTTAATAGACAAACCCGTCCACGTATCTCTCCTGCAGTCTTACTTGGATGTTCCCACACTCACCCAACGTTCATGTACTCAACGAATATCTCCTGAATGCTATATTTGTTTTTTACTGCTGTTCTAACAAACTACCACAAGCTTAACAATTTAAGACAATATTCACTTATTAGCTCACAATTCTGCCGGTCAGAAGTCCAGCATGGCGCGGCTGGATTCTCCGCTCAGGGTCTCCCCGGGCTAAAATCAAGATATGGGAAGGCTGTGGTTCCCTCCCATGTGGGACTTGAGGTCCTCTTCCAGGTTCCCTGGCCTTGGACAGAACTTTTTCTCTCTTGCCTTCCATGTGGCGTCCTCCAGAGGGGCCCCAGCAACAGAGGGTGGAGAATACTCTCTCTTCTAATTTCGCTGATTTCCCCATCTGCCACATCTCTCTCTGACTCTCCTGCCTTCCTCGTCTGAGTTTCTAAGGACTCACATGATTGCATGGCCCCTTCCAGATATTCAGATAGTCTCCCTAAAGTCAGTAATCTTAATACATCTGCAAAGTCCCTTTTCACATTCATTGGTGTACCGCCAGGGGGCAAAGATCATGGGAACCAAAATTCTGCCTACAGTGCCTACCGTGTACCAATCACTATTCTTGGCTTTTGGGAAACTTCAGTGGACAAAACAGACAAAATGGCCCGCCTTCGTGGAACTCACACTCTAACTAGGGATGTAAAACCCTTAGGGCTTTCAGCCATATACACATCCTCAGAGTTCAGATTTCTTTTGCTTGGGTGTTAATTGAATTCCTGCCTTTTTCCCCCCCTAACCAGGGAGGCCCAAGAATTTGTGGAGAAGTATGAAGGAGCCTTGGGAAAGGGGAAAGGCAAGCGACTCTACGCCTGTAGGATGCTGATGGCTAAGGTGTGTGGTGCAGAGCCCGCAAACCTGTCGGAGGACTTGCTCAGCTCCTGAACTTGGGTGACATCCCAGGCCCCTACCCTGCTTCACTGTTTGTGTTCGGCTCCCCCAGAATCCTGAGCATGAGGTCCAGTCAGCCATTCTGATTTGTCCGGGAATAGAAACCAACTGTATCCTGTCCATATCTCTATACACATCTGTAGGGGGCGTCAATATACTTGAGACTTGTTTCCTCTCCAGGGAAGAACTAAACTCGCAAAATCAGTGATGCTGAATCCACTGGGATCTTATTTTCCAGTCCAGATCAAGACTCATTGACTTGGTGGAGACCAGGAAGGGCTATGGTGTCATCTGAATCATACAGACGATAAACTGTGGTGTTGATGGGGCATAGGGACAGCTCTGCTGTGTTGAGTTATGTCATAACCTGGTCTTCTGATGGAGGCTCGGATAATGTTCTCTGATTGGACATTTATTGTGGAGCTTATTGAATTAGCCTTCCTTTACCTACTGATTTGAAAAAGTATCATTTTCAATCACTTAATCCTTGCATTGCGCCTGTTTTAGAGCTTTTATTGAACTCATCATTTCAGCTGTTAATTCTGTGCCTCATAGGGCTAGCTTCCTCTTTTTACCTTTGTTTTTCAAAAATATATTGGCCAGTCTTGCCTACGTTTTCATATGCATTTGTTTTATTTTGTTTGCATTCTTTTTTTTCCTCCCATATGCATTTGTAAAATCACTTTGGCAATTTCCAGTTATATCCCATTGAGGTTTTTTTTGGAAATTTTTTTAAATCCTTGATTTAATTTGGGAAAACTTCTTAGCTGTACAATATTTAGTCTTTACATCTAAGAATACCATACATTTCTCAAGACTTATTTTTACATCCTTCAGCAAAATTTGTCATTTTTCTTTATAGAGACCTTTTCCATGTCTTATGTTTATTTCTACAAAGTTTATGTTTAGTTGCTTTTGTAAATGGGATCATTTTCTATTTATTTAATAACTCGATATTGCTGGCATGTAGGAAAGCTACATATTTGTGTATTAATTTTTATTTTTGTTTTTTTTAATGGAGATACCCGGGATTGAACCCAGAACCTCCTGCATGCTAAGCATGTGCTCTGCCACTGAACTATACCCACCCCCGTGTATTAATTTTTAAATCTGGTTCCCCCCTTGTACTCCCTTATTAGTGCTAATTGTTTTCATCTGATTGTGGATGTAAAGATGCTTTTTCTTGGGTTCTTCTAAATCATTCCTATCCTAAAGTGTGAGTTAACAATCCTAGAACAGTTTCAAATGATGATGGTGATCACAGGTCTCTTTGCTTTTCCATCACTTTAATGAAAATGACTCTAGTGTTTCACTTTAAGTAGATGGGAGTTTCTGCCTTGAAACAGATCTCCTTTCTCACTTCCATTTCATTGGAAATAGATGTTAGATTTGATCAAATACTTTTCCCTTCTCTTAGTAAACTTACTTTTATTTCTGGAATAACCTTAGTCATAATCCATTATTTTTAACTCCACAGGCATGTCTGATTTTTCAGTATTTTATGATTTTTACATAAATTTTCATAAGATTGATCTGAATTTATGTGTGCACATGCATGTACACATGCTGTCTTGGCAAATTTTAATACTAGGGCTACACTTGCTTTATAATATTAAATAAATAGCATTATCTCCTTTTTATGCTGTAAATCAGTTTCTAGAGCACGATCATTCATTTTTTTGGAAATCCAAATGATGACACCCTTAAAACTGTATAGATCAGGAAGCATTTTTATAGAATATCTTGGTAATTTTTAAAATGTTTTTCCTGTTTTGAATATTGGTTTATCCAAGTTTTAACTTTTTTGGGGGGCCATCTTAATATTTTATATTCTTCCCTAAACTTGATCATTTCATTAAGATTTTCATATGTATTAACAGAAAGTTGTATATGGTAGTTCCACAGTTTGTGTAAGTTACATTCTATATATGTTAAGTTTGAATCCTTTTTATTCCTAATATTACTTTTTCTCCCTTTTCTGTTACAGTTGCCTGACAACTATCTATGAGTCATTTTGTTAATTTTATCTTAAAACCATTTACCACTGAACTGCACACTCAGATCTTTTTTTTTCCAGTTGAAGAATGTGTGCTTCAAATATATCTGATAAATGATTCTGTTCAATCATGTTTCAATTCAAATGTATGTAGCTTCTTTGTTAGGAAAAGGATGGCTGCCAAGCCTCCGTTCTTTGTGTTTACTTTCCCTCATTGTTTTTAATTCTTTGCCTTCTTTCTCTTTGCATTCTCAGAAATTTCTCAAGTTTATTCTCAATATCATTGAATCAATCTTCTTCTGTCTCAAAGTGTCATGTTAATTTTCATTCTATTACTGAACTTTTAGCAACCTTGTAATCAGTCCTTCCATACTTTACCTGTGTTCTTTTTAAAATCTCTGGTTGCTATCCTTTACTCTAGAAGCCATATTTCTTGTATCCTACTAAGAATTTAGTTATGTTTCCTACAGGAAATGCTTTCCAAAAATCTCAAAGAATGTTGTCCCTTTTCCCTTGTTCTGCCATACTATTTCTCAGATTTCCCTGGCTGTTTTTAGTTATTCAGATCCAGATTTCATCCACAGACAGGATGTGCCCATGTCTCCTTCGACCACTGTTTGAAATCTTCTTTCCTACATACAGCTGAAGAGCAAGACAGCTCAGAACCCAGTCCCAGGGCAGTAGCTACCACCTCAGCAGCTCCAGGAAAGCCACCCACACCCCAGCTCAGTTTTCTGATTCCCTGAACCAATGAAAGATGAGCGTTTCAATGCAGAGCTTCTTCCAGGCCTCTGTCTGCTTCTGCCCTACCCGCCTCCAGGCATCACTTTCCAGGCTGAGATGCCCACAGCCTTGAGGGGCTGTCAAGTGGTTGCCAAGTGACCAACTGGCAGACGACATCTCCAGGGACCTCACTTAGTAACTTTCATTACTCCATTGGTCCTCAGCCTTGCAAGGATATATTTTATACTGATTTTATCAGCACCCTGATAGGTGATCTGTCTCTCAGGGGAGAACTCACATTATTAAAGCTTATGAGACTGATAAAACCAGATACCAGATTCTTAATTTATAAGGAGAAGTAACTGATGCAAGAACTGAAAAATTTGAAGTCCATGTCAACAGTAGAGTTAGTTATACGGGATATTTTTGATAGTAGAGTTAGTTATACGGGAAGCTAAAGCATAATCCCAATTCCAATTTTTTAATTTGCAATGAAAAAAACTCACCATCATAAAACCCAAAATACTTACGGCCCAGGTGATGGGCAAATGCTTTCCTTACAGACAGACCTATAGAAGAGGCCAAATAAGCCAAAGCTGGGTTTTGAGCACAGAATTGGAGCTTGGAAAGGTAGAGGAAGCAACGGGACTGGAGTGCCCAGTGTCCGCCATCTGCCATTCCCTACGTCCGTTCCTGCCTTACGGATATCCTTGCCATTATTATCAACTAGCCTTTTGCTTATGGGCCCCTCTGCTCCTTGGCATCTGTGAGCATCTCTCTCTTCTGCCAGGTGGCTCTACCTTCCTTATATAGTAATTATCTGATCATGATATAGTCAAAGCCTTCAGGTCTGGAAGCCCATCTGTTTCCTTCGGATAAATTTTTCCTTTTATTCTTTAGTGAATTTACAAAGGCAAATATCATTTCCTTTATGAACAAATTCTTTTGAGACCTTTGCAATAGTAGAAACTGATCTTAGGATTTTTTCCCTACTTCCTCTTTGCCTGCTGTTTTCTATGAGTTTCTTTTTTTTCAATTCCAAATGGATTTATTCCCGAGGGTGGGGCTGTTGGAAAGCAGCTCCTTGAAGAGTTGACAAATTTTCACCCAGCTAGCAGGCAGGCAAGCTACTCAGGTTTCTAATTAGTACAAACTGAGTGTCAGAGCTGGAGCAGACCACAGAAAGGGGCATAATGCCTTCCTAACTTCTTTTAGAAAAAAAAGCAGATTGTAGTTTCACCAGGAAAGAATGGGAAACCATAGGCTGACATCTCTTTACCACTTCCATCAACCTTGGAGTTTAGCAATAATTCCTGTCAGATTAAGGCACTTGGCTCTCTGACAAATGTGGATGTAGGAGTTGTAAGATTTCTTTTTTCCCTTGTATTTTTGCTTTAAGATGAAGGAAGTTACTATCAGAGGTTCTTAAGCCAATTTGATCCCCCCAAATCAGAAATTGTACGCAGAATTCCTAAGTTCATGTATAAACTGTCCAAACCTGAAATTTTATCAGCACTGTAGACAAATGCAGGGTATTGTGTTGCCCTGGGTTTTCTCTTATTCACACCTGACTTTGGAAAGTGGAGATGTGAGCATCCGCCTCTGGCAGCTTGGGCTCAACAGCTCCAAGATGGCAGCCTCACCCACACGTCGACCTCATGTTGACACATCAACATCTACGTGCACCTCCATCCTCCCCCTCCAGGCCCCGAGGCAGCATGTCAATGAACTGAGGGTGTTGCCTGTTTAATTTCAGAAATGGGTCAAGTTTAAAAGAGACTTTGATAACTTCAAGACTCAGTGTATTCCCTGGGAAATGAAGATCAAGGACATTGAAAGTGAGTATTTTGATGTCGCTGTGTTAGTTGGTTTGCTGAAGGGTTTTCCAAGGGTTTGGGCTGTGTTCTTGACCAACTGATTAGATTATGTCATAGGTTCTGTTGTATCTGTTACGGGCTTTGGACTAGTCAGACCAAAATTTAAATTGTGCTTCTCCACTTTCTGATTGTAGGAACTTGGATAGATAAGTTAAGGTTATTCACCTGAAAAGAAAACGGAGGTCAGGGTGTGCATTCCACAGACGGATGTGAAAATCGAATCCATCACACACACAAAGTGCTTGGCAGTGTTAACATCCCCCTCTGCCACCTTTACAGCCACCATCTCTCTCTCTTCAGGTCACTTTGGTTCTTCAGTGGCATCATATTTCATCTTTCTCCGATGGATGTATGGGGTTAACCTCGTCCTTTTTGGCTTAATATTTGGTCTAGTCATAATCCCAGAGGTAAGAAAAGAACTGCCTGTATCTTTGGATAGTGTTGAGGCTTATTTATCATGATCACCATTTTCTTTTACATTTATCAAATACTCTGTTTTACAAAGAATCCATCATTCATTTTATGTTCTATCCTCACATCAATTGTCTTGTTAGTGCAGTACAAATAATGGAAACAAAATATTTGTGTTTCTGAATTAACCAGTGGACCCTACATTTTTCTACCTTTAATTTTACTTTTAGATTGGTAGAGAATTTCTTATCTCAGTGAGGCTTTTTTTAAATTTTACTCTGAAAAAAAAAGAGAGGGATAGGATGCATTATATAATAATGTACTACCACCCCCCCAAAAAAACCCTTGCATTTGAATAGCACTCCTCACTATCCTCCCAGATATAATCTCATGGATGTAGGTAGGTCCTTACCTACAGATGAGTAATTGACAGGCAAAAAAAAGACTAAGTGACTTTCAAATTTACACAGGAAATTTGTGGTGAATGAGATCCCAGATTTCCACAGTGTTGGCCTGGAGCATTTTCCAAGGATGCCTGTGGTCCACCAGCACTGGGCACAGTAATTCCTATAGTCCTGCCTGAGCCACTTGGCCCTGGCGCTGGCAAGAAGAAATCTCTCCTTACCTCTAGTCCTTAACCAGCAGTGATTAGACTTTGTCCCTAAATTTTTGCCTTTATCAGAATATCATGTAAATAGAACCATACAGTATGTAGCATTTTGTGTCTGGCCTCTTTCATTTAGCACGAGGTCTTTGAGATTCATCCATGTTGTTGCATGTATCAATAATTTGTCCTTTTTATCACTGAGTAATATTCCATTGTATGGATGTACCATCGTTTGTTATCTATTCACCAGTCTATGGACATTTGGGTTGTTTCCAACAACCCAAGTGGGGCTATGATAACTAAAGGTACTATAAACATTCACATTCAGGTCTTTGTCATGTATCTTAATTTTCTATTTCATTAATTTCTTTCTTGGTAATTTCTCTGGGTTTGTATTAGTTATCTATTACTACATAACAAAAATACCACAAAATTTTGCTGAAAAATATTTATTATCTCACAGTTTCTGTAAATTGGGAGAGGCTTATCCAAGGTGGTATGAAGGCCAGGTGATGCTGTTTCTTAAGCTAAGTAGTGAATACACAGTAGTTAATTTTCTTTTCATTATGATCAAATGTACATGTTTTATATATACTATTTTATATACAACCTATTCCCCAATATGAATATAAATTTTAAATAAAACAAAAAAGAATAGGAGGGAATTACCTAAAAATGATTAAGCGATAAATTTAAAAACAGAAGTAATGTTACATTAAATGATGAAATACTAAAGCCTGTGTTAGTAAAAATCAAGAGAAACATGGAGTGCCCCATCCTAGTACTTTTCAACATTATTCTGAAATGTCTACCTAACACAATAAGTCAAAAAAAAAATTTACACATTTTATACAAAAAATACAAAATTCTTTTAGTTTTGAGGTGTATTATTGTATACCCAAAAAACACTAAGGAGTCTACCAAAAGTTTCTTGAAGAAGAAAGATTATGTTGAGAAGAAGAGTATATTGAGATGGCTGGAGTTTTTTTAAACATTAACAGCATTTTCTACACATTCAATATCCAGTTTGAAATTAAATTTTAAAATTTTGCCCTCACAATAGTAATAAATCTATAAAATAACTAGTAATAAATTTAACAAATTAGAAGATTTCTATGAGGAACACTATAAAGTATTGCAGGAAAAAATATGACCAAATAAACAGGAGGATACATTCTTTGAAGGGAAAACAATAATTTAAAAAAAAATCAATCCTTTCTAAATCAATATGTAAATTTAATACAATTCTGATTTTATCTATTTATATATTGACATAAAGTTGATTTACAATGTTGTGTTTGTTTCTGGTGTACAGCATAGAGATTCAGTTATATGTGTATACACACACACACACACACACACACACATATATACATATACACACACACATCCACATACACACACACATTCTTTTTCATATTCTTCTCCATTATGGTTTATTTCAAGCTCTTGACTATAGCTCCCTGTGCTATCAGTAGGACCTTGTTGTTTATCTATTTTATATACAGTAGTTTGTATCTGCTAATCCCAAACTCCTAATTTACCCCTCCACCACCACTTTGCCCTTTGGTAATCGTAAGTTTGTTTTCAATGTCTGTGAATCTGTTTCTGTTTTGTAAATAAACTCATTTGTGTCATGTTTTAGATTCCACATATAAGTGATACCATATGGTATTTGTCTTTCTCTTTCTGACTTATTTCACTTAGTATGGTAATCTCTAGGTCCATCCATGTTGCTGCAAATGACATTATTTCATTCTTTTTATGACTGAGTAGTATTCTATTGTGTATATATACTATATCTTCTGTATCAGTTCATCTGTTGATGGACACTTAGGTTGCTTCCATGTCTTGGCTGTTGTAAATGGTGCTGCTATGAACACTGAGGTGCATGTATCTTTTCGAATTACAGTTTTCTCCAGATATATGCCCAGGAGTGGAATTGCTGGATCATATGGTAACTCTAATTTTGTTTTTTAAGGAACCTCCATACTGTTTTCCGTAGTGGCTTCACCAATTTACATTCCCGCTAACAGTGTAGGGCAGTTCTCTTTTCTCCACACGCTCTCCAGCATTTGTTATTTGTAGACTTTTTAATGATGGCCATCCTAACCAGTGTGAGGTGGTAACTCACTGTAGTTTTAATTTGCATTTCTCTAATAAATAATGATATTGAGCATCTTTTCATGTACCTCTTGGCCATCTGTATGTCTTCTTTTGAGAAATGTCTATTTAGGTCTTCTGCCTATTTTTTTATTGGGGTTTTTGTTGTTGTTGTTTTTCATAATCAGGTTTTTTATTTGTATGACATTGAATTATTTCCATTTTTTTTAAGTATACTCAGTTTACAATGTTGTTTCAATTTCTGGTGTACAACATGAAGTTTCAGTCGTATGTATACATACATATATTCATTTTCATATTATTTTTTCATTACAGGTTACTACAGGATATTAAATATAGTTCCCTGTGCTGCAAAGTATACACTTCTTGTTTATTTATTTTATATTCAGTCCCATTTGTTTTTCTTTTTTAACATTTTTTATTGATTTACAATCATTTTACAATGTTGTATCAAATTCCAGTGTAGAGCACAATTTTTCAGTTATACATGAACATATATATATTCATTGTCACAATTTTTCTCCATGAGCTACCATAAGATCTTGTATATATTTCCCTATGCTATACAGTATAATCTTGTTTATCTATTCTACAATTTTGAAATCCCAGTCTATCCCTTCCCTCCCTCCACCCCCTTGGCAATCACAAGAAAGAGAAAGAAAAATACCATATGAGACTGCTCATATGTGGAATCTAAAAGAAAAACACACAAAGCATAAATACAAAACAGAAATAGACTCATAGACATAGAGTACAAACTTGTTGTTATTGAGTTGTATGAACTATTTGTATACTTGAAGAGTTAAGCCCTTGTCTGTCACATCATTTGCAAATATTTTCTCCCAGTCCGTAGGTTGTCTTTTCATTTTGTTTATGGTTTCCTTTGCTGTGCAAAAGCTAATAGGTTTAATTAGATCCCATTTTTTTTTGCTTTTATTTCTATTGTCTTGGGAGACTGACCTAAGAAAACATTAGTACAATTTATATCAGAGAATGTTTTGCTTATGTTCTCTTCTAGGAGTTTTATTGTATCATGTCTTATATTGAAATCTTTAAGCCATTTTGAGTTTATTTTTGTCTACTGTGTGAGAGTATGTTCTAACTTCATTGATTTACATGCAGCTATCAAGTTTAATTTTTTTAATAATTAAGGATGTGAATAAAATCATGTATATGAGGATATTAATAACAAAAAGTTGTATATATGAAGAATTAGAAATATTCTAATGGCCAAAAATAGGGAATTCTTTAAATTTTATTTTTTATTAAAGTGTAGTTGACTTACAATGTTAGTTTCAGGTGTGCAGCAAAGCAATTCAGTTATACATATACATACGTATATATACATATATTTTCAGATTCTTTTCCATTATAGCTTATTATAAGAAATTGAATATAGTTCCCTGTGCTATTCAGTAGGTCCTTGTTATTTATCTATTTCATATATAGTAGTGTGTATCTGTTAATCCCAAACTTTTAACTTATCAATGGGGAATTTTTTAAGTAAGTTTATGATACATACATGTGATTAGATATTTTGAAGTCATTTTGTTTTGAAAAGTACCATATGCCATAGGGAATTGGTCATAAAATAATAGTAAGCTAAATAACCAAATTAAAACATATATAAAACTCAGAACAACTAAAAGAGAATATATGAATATCTAAGAGTCATTATCGTTAAGATTTGAAGTTAATAAGTAATTTTTAAAAACTTTTTGGGGGGTGTTTTTTGGAGGGGTAGATAATTAGGTTTATTTATTTATGTGTTTTTCTAGTGGAGGTACTGGAGCTCGAACCCAGGACCTTGTGCATGCGAAGCATGCGCTCTACCACTGAGCTATACCCTCCCCCCAATAAGTAATATTTTAATACTCTTCTATACTTTTTCACATTTTCTACAATGAGTGTGTCATACTTTTAAAATCAGGAAAAGGATTAATGTTTTTTAAAGAAAAAAGATATATGTGTCCTGCTCTGATAAGGGATTTAACCCACTATGTGCTTGTCTCCGCGTGTTTGCATCTTCTCCACATATAATCGTGTTGTTCTGTCCCCACACAAGGTACTGATGGGCATGCCCTATGGAAGTATACCCAGAAAGACAGTGCCTCGGGCTGAGGAAGAAAAAGCCATGGATTTTTCAGTCCTTTGGGACTTTGAGGTACCATTGCCAACACACCACTGCACTTCCATTTTGTGATCATGGATAAAAGTGAAATGTTGCATTTAATTATTGGAAAGCCAGTGCTTTAATCAAATGGGATCCCAGCACTATGCAGAATGAGCTAGCCAGCCATGTCCTCCTGTCTCCCTTCATGGGTCCTTTCTTCAGCCACGTACTCTGATGGATGTGAGTTCCCTGTGAGGCCATTGTTCCCCTCGTTCTGCCAGGTCCATGTAAGGCAATCTTACAGGATGCTCAGGATGGTTTTTTCCTGGCCATAACCACAGTAAGACCCCAGGGCTATTGCCAGTCCAGCCTTTCCCCAAGCTTCACGTGGCATCTTCAACTGCATATCCTATGTGCTCCTCAAATTCAACATCTATCCAACCAAACCCACATCACTTTTTCCCATCTCCTTTATTGGAATCACCATTCATCCAACCATTCAAGTCACCCTACATTTTCTCTTCCTCACAACCACCGTGCACATCCAGTCAATCACTAAATCTGAGCCTATCTACTAAACATCTCTTGAATCAGTCCCCTTTTCTCCGTCCCTCTCACCTCTTCTTTGAATAACGCCCCCATTGTACCAGGACCACTGTCAGACTTGTCTACCTCTGCTCCCTGCCTTGGCTTAGCTCCCAAAATCTCCATTCCCTCTGCTGCCAGGTAACCTTTCTAAAATGCAAACCTGACCCTGTCACTCCCCATCTCCAATATTCATTTATTCCCACTCCCAGATAAAATAAAACCAAGCGTTGTGAACTGGGGTTATAATTATTCATGACCTGATTGCTCCTCCCTCTCCAGTCCCATGTCTATCTAACACCTCACACTTTGTGCCCCAATATTATCAAGTTTGGAGGAAGTCCAGTTGCTGCCACCACCCTTCACTCTCATAGTCAGACTCAAGACCCCTCAGAAACATGTGAAAGTGAGGTGGAATATTTTCCCAAGTTGTTTGGAACAGAGATGTTCCAAGTAACTATTATATCACTAAGAATTATATACTGCTACTAAGAATTTCTTTTATTCTTTACTTCATCCAAAGACCCCGGATGAAACATGCTATCTACCCAAAAGCAACAGTTTATTCAGCAATAATCTGTGAAAATTTAAAATTTCAAAAACTTATATCCATCACATCAGTGGCTGTTTCTCAATAAATACTTTCCTGATGAAATCAATGGAGATATTAACAAATGGGATTTTTTATATTGTATAAGAAATGTGTCAACATTTGGCATATTTGCATAACTCAGTGAACCATTACTTTCTAGATGACCAGTACATGATGTTACATATTCTTTTTCATTAAAAGTTATTACAAGATATTGAATACAGTTCCCTGTGCTATACAGAAGAAATTTGTATTTTTACCTATTTTTATATATAGTAGTTGGTCTCTAAAAATCTTGAACTCTCAGACTTATCCCTTCCCCTGGTAACCATAAGATTGTTTATACGTCTTCTAGTCTGTTTCTGTTTTGTAGGTAAGTTCATTAGTGTCTTCTTTTCTCTTTTTTCTTTTTTTAGATTCCACATGAGTGATATCATATGGTATTTTTCTTTCTCTTTCTGCCTTACTTCACTTAAAATGACAGTCTCCAGGTCCATCCATGTTGCTGCAAATGGCATTATTATATTCCTTTTTATGGCTGAGTAGTACTCCATTGTATAAACATACCACAACTTCTTTATCCAATCATCTGTTGATGGACATTTAGATTGCTTCCATGTCTTGGCTACTGTAAATGGTGCTGCTATGAACATTGGGGTGCATATACCTTTTCGAGTTAGAGTTCCCTCCAGATATATGCCCAGGAGTGGGATTGCTGGATCATATGGTAACTCAATTTTTAGTTTTTTGGCTAATTTCTAATTTTATCCCAAATGTTAACAACACTTTCTTCTTCATTCTGCATCTCTGTGCACTCTGTGTAATGGAGACATGGATAGAAGAAAGGAAAGAGGGGAGATATGAGGATGTGGATTGACTCTGGAGCAACTAGTGGGGAGTGAAGGGAAGAGCAGGAATGTTCAGAACCCAGCCTTCTTCCCCTCGGGATCCCATCACACCCCTGAGAAAGAAGTCCCAGGCAGAAGAGCAATGTCTGATGACTGTAGCACTGAGCTTACAAACCCAGAGCATGGGCTTTGCTGTCCCACAGGGCTACATCAAGTACTCTGCTCTCTTCTATGGCTACTACAACAACCAGAGGACCATCGGGTGGCTGAGGTACAGGCTGCCCATGGCTTACTTCATGGTGGGGGTCAGCGTGTTTGGCTATAGCCTGATGATCGTCATTAGATCGTAAGTATGACCATCTCATTTACATGCTTTTTATTTTCTTCACACAAATAGTCCACTCCTGTGGCCACTCTGTACCTACTTATCTTCTTGTCGGGGATTTAGAGAGAAAACAAGAAAACAAATAAATAAAGCAAATACATATTTTCATATATGGTATAAAAGGCATAAACAGGGTAATGTGGTACATTCTGGGAGATGGGATAGAAATTCCTTTAGATGAGGCTGGGCACAGCATTTTAAACATACCAAGAGCATGTGCAAAGGCCCCGAGGCAGCAAATATCCTACTTAGTTCCAAAAACTGTCAAAAGGCCAGTGTGGCTTGAGGGAGAACATGGTACCCAGAAAGGAAAGGCTAGAGTAGTTTGTGATGCCTGTTTCTGCTTTCCCCAGAGCCCACCTTCCTCAGAAAAATTCTCTGCTTCTCTTTAAGTCTAGCTGGCAGGCGAGAACCGAGCTGGCACTTAACAAAGATATAAACAATGAGCCTAAACATGTGTATGTGGCTGAGAATGAACCATGGTGTCCTCTCTGGCCCCAACTCTATCTGTCTCTGTGGCCAGAAATGGCATTTTGATATGTCTGTGCCTCTTAATTCATATTCTCTGAAGAAAAAAATTGGCACAGCCCATGAATTGTCTTGAAAGTCAGGAGACCACAGTCAGGGACCACAGGCTGTGCAGGGTGAGGACATCATCTGCTGCCAGTCATCTGCTTTTCACAGGAGCCTGCCTGGTGCAGTGACCGCTGGGTGACATGTGGCTGCCCAGCTCTATCAAGCAAAAGGAAAAAAACAAGAAGTCAGGCTTGGTTTTCTTCCTAGCCCTAGCCCTCGCATTGTTACATTTTCCCTGCTACTATCCCAGATGAATATAAGGAGATGGGCTGTTTTCCTGTTGAACCAAAGTGCTAACAAAGGCAGCCAAGCCCCTGGAGCAGCAATCCCCAAAGCGGACACATCAGATAGAGTCAGAGAGGCACAAGCCCCATTGTGTCTAATGGAGCCCCGGCCCAGAATTCTGTGGTTCCCACAGGGCTGATCTCCAGGAAGCACAAGAGAGGGTGAGGACAGGTAGGATGAAATAGGTGGGTATCAAGGCAGGTCCAAGGACTTTCCTCCTGGCTTGCTTAAGAAAATGATGTCTGTGTTACCTGGTTGCAGTATCAACTGTCTCAGGGCTTATTGAATTTTGTATCAGAAAAAAAATGTAATTTCTATCCAAGAAAACAGATGAATTAGAAGGGAATGTTCTTGGTGAGAATCAAGAATTCTAAAACATTGGCAGGTGAGTCAAGCCACAGGAAATCAGATGTCAGGATAGAAAACATGGTTAAGTGTCCTGTACCTTGCAGGCTCCTTGTTACCCAACTGACACCATGTATGCTCACTGGGTCTCTGAATTTGGGGAGAAGGTACCCTGGCCATCAGTAGTCTGGTTCACATTTATCTTGGCTCTTTCCCCTCACTGGATGTCTGCCATCTGTGCCCAAAGTTCCCTTGGGCTGACACAGAAACAGGGCAGATATAACCACAGTGGCGTGCACCCTGCAGGATGGCCAGCAACACCCAGGGCAGCACCAGCGAGGGGGAGAATGATAACTTCACGTTCAGCTTCAAGATGTTCACCAGCTGGGATTACCTGATCGGGAATTCAGAGACGGCTGACAGCAAGTATGCCTCCATCACCACCAGCTTCAAGGTAGCCACCTCAGGGCCATTCCCACCTCCCAGGGGAACTTTGGGTACCTCTTGTCATCAGGAGACTTCTCCCTGCTGGGGTGTGGGAAGTAAGATCCCCAATTATGGTAGTAAGAGCTTTACCAAAAGTGGGAGCCTAGCTCTCAAGCCTTCAAGAAAGAATGTTCATGGCTGGTACCCACTATCTGTTTCTTAATATGTTCATGGATGCTGGGACCTGGTCCAGCCTGTTTCCTTGTGGAACTACTTTCTGCTGGGGGAAGTGGAAGGACTCACTCGGGGCAGCCGTCATCAACCTTCACACATGTTTGCAGGATCTGAGGAGCTTTAAAACTCTTCTGGGCCCCACTGCAGAGATTTTGGCATATTGATCTAGGGTGGGGTCCTAGCATTGGTTTTTTTAAAACTCTCTCAAGTGACTAGAACACCCAGAGAGAGTTGAGAACCCTGGCTTGGGGGTGTGAGAATGAAGGACTCAACTAAGTGTAAAACTCCACACTTGATTATCTCATCACTTTGTTCATAAGAGAGATGTGAGGTGGCCTGAAGAATATAGAACAAAAGCAAGCCTGTAGGTGAGCAGGTGAATGAAGGTTACTATGACACCCACCATGACTGTAAAGCCATTCAGAGTTCTTGACAGTCCAGTACTTCCGGCTGATCAGTCTCGCCCCAGGGCCTGGCAAGGGTCAGATTTACATCGCAGTTGTGCTTGGTTGTCTTGTCTTCTTCCCACTCCTCTCCCCTGGCCCTTCTGGGAGAAGCGGGCCGCTGCCCACCGATACCAGTCATAGGCTACAGAAGCCGGGTACACCCAAGGGACAGGGCTTGGGCTCAGCAAGTCACTGCATGGGTTTCACGAGCCCCGGAGTCTGTGGGCTTGGCAGTGGGTGGAGCAGGGCGCTGCCTTGGTCCTCCTCCCCTTCTCCTTCTCACAGCCATGGGGAGCCTCTGGCAGAGCATCCAATGGCAGGGCAGGGGTCAACAGGGGCTTTGACCCTTCCTCCAGGACTGCCAGCGAGAGACAAAGAAGGTCAATCTCTGTGTTACCAAGTCCAGACTCATTCTGCTCACCACATGACAGGCCAATAAATCGGGAGAGTTGGGACAAGGAATAACGACTTTATTTGGAAAGCCGGCAGACTGAGAAGATGGCAGACTGATGTCCTGGAGAACCATCTTCTCCAAGTCAGAATTCAGGCTCCTTTTCTACTAAGAAGGGAAGGGAGTATGGTTGGTTGTTGCAAATTTCTTGGTGTCAGAATACTTTGTTCTTTGTTCCAGTCGGTCAGGTCATGGTGTCCCTGCAAATCTCCAAGAAGACAAATATTATTTTCTATTCTACAACTTTTTATCTTTATATGAATGGGAAAGTGTTATACCCTTAAAGGTCAGAGCCTTGAGAATAGGCTGTCCTGTACATTTCAGGCTCTAGGCGATGTTCTTTTATAAAAGATGCAGAACCAGCAGAATAAGCACCGGAAACAGAGCACAGGGTTAGAGCTAAAGGAACAGGTCTCATATGGGGTCAGGTTTGCTCCTCCCTATTACATCTATGAAACACTTTGAATATCTGGGAAGGAGAAGACTTCTCCTCTGAGTCTGTTAAAAACCAAGATAACACACATACATAACCCTTGAGAACTGTGAGCACTAATGTATAGTAACTGCCTGATGAGTTAGTAGAAACGGAACTTGAATGGACTATTAATTGATTGAAAAAGTCTCCTTCCAGGTACTTTGGTGTCCTGGGGACCTCGTTTTCCATCCTGGCTCTGTCATACACTAATTGGTCTTTCTATGAGAAACTTACTAATGCAGGAGACAAGGTTAATATTTAAAAGTCTGTTGTATTTTTATACACTAGCAGCTAATAATTTTAAAAATTCTATTTACAATAAAATTACCTAAATTACAAAAAATTCCAAAGAATAAATTTAACAAAAAAAAAGTGGGAGAAAAGAACTAATTCTCCATTGGGCAACAGTGCTCTATTGCCATCCCCTCAGAATTGTTTCGTTTCTGGAAATATAGAAAGTATTCATCTCAGGAACTCAAAACGATGGTTCCTGTTGGCTCCAGGCTGGTCATTATTCACATCTCATTTTCACACATCAAGGAATCAATAGTGGACGAACAAGAGAGTAACAAAGAAGAAAATGTCCATCTGACGAGGTTTCTCCGCGTCCTGGCCAACTTTCTCATCATCTGCTGTTTGTGTGGAAGTGGGTACCTCATTTACTTTGTGGTGAAGCGATCCCAGGAGTTCTCCAAAATGCAGAACATCAGCTGGTACGAAAGGAACGAGGTAAGGAGGGCATGTTTGCTGAAGGGAACACTGTCGGCCGATACTGAAATGACCCTGGTACTTCTGCCCGTCAACTGAATTACTGAATCCTGGACGATAGGACTTACTTTAAAAAGTGACATCGCTTTCAAGTCAAGTAGTATGAACATCTTGAAGAGTCATCTGTTACTAGACTTCTGTAGCTGGGGAAAGCTGGATTTGACTAGCATGTTACACATAGCCAGTTGTCTTAACACCAGTTATTAAAAAGATGTTCCTTTCCTCAGGGGGCCGTCTGTCATAAATCAGTTGTCTAGTCGTCCATGGTGTGATTCTGGGCTCCCTTTTCTATTCCATTGTTCTAGTTGTCTTTTCCTGCACTCATAAAACATTGATAAACTATGGATTTACAGCGTGTCCTGGTATCTGTAGAGTGAGTTCTCTCATCAAGACCCACAATAAAACACATTACAGTTTTATTACGATTATATTGAATCTATAAATCTCTTTGGGGAATTTGACATCTGTAGTAGTTGGCAAAAATGCTACAAATTCTTCCCGTTCTTGCATTCCACTTTTTTTTCCAATGTGATTTTCTAGCTCCTCCCACAAAGAGGTGGAGTCTGTTTCCCCATCCCTTGCCTTAGCCAATGAAATAGTAGCAACCCTGATACAAGCAGACTTGAAACGTGCTCATGTTTTAGAATTTGCTCTCTTGGGAAGCTGGGACCTCCACCACATGAACAATTCCTGGCTAGCTTCCTGAGTGATGAGAGACAGATGGCCCAATTACCTCCTCACACTAGGTGTTAGCAAATCAACCACCAGACATATGAATGAAGCCATCACCCATCAGCTGACCATTGATACATGAATGAATCCTGGTGAGGCCGGCAGAAGAACCACCTAGAAAAAAATACTGAAAAAAATACTGACCCAAAGAATCATGAGGTAAATAAATCCAATAATGAGAAACAATCTGTCTCCCCCCATTAGGCAAGAAACGATAGAAAAAGAAATGTGGAACCGGCAGGACAAATATAAAACACAAAATCAGATAGATTTAAATCTAAATGTATCAGTGCTTATAATGAATGTGAATGGATTAAAGCTGCAGTTCAAAGTCCACAATAACCAAATTGAATTTTATAAAAAGCTACATGCTGTTTACAATTAACTGTAAAACATCAAGTCACTAAGCTATGAGAGGGATACAAAAGATGCCCAGGATGGATTCTGCCTTTAACTGAATTGCAGTCACCTTAGGAAGCAGGATTGACAAGAATAAACTTTGGCACATCCAGGAATAGGCAGGAATAATGTGATCCAACAAGATGTTTTGGGTTACAGATGTGTGGCAAGTGGAAAAGTCCACGTGAGCTGCAGAGACGGGGATTTTGTGGCAAATGTGAGAATTAGGCTGAGCCTTAGATAAACTCCTGAAAGAAGGGCAGTGGTGGGTGTGGGGCTGAGAAGGCTCTCCAGGTGGGAAGGAAGAACTGCATGAACAGGTAAAGGGGCACGAAGGTGATGGGAAGCCATCCCAACAGTCAGTGTGAGAGAGAGAGTGGGGGAGTGAGAACCAGCCCGGAAGAGTTGGCTGACCTGCAGTTTAATCAGCAGTTCAAGGACTCACTCTCCACTGGGTGAGCAGTTTTAGGTGCAGAGAGAACGTTCTGCTGTGGCTGACAGTTCAGTTATCTGAGTCAGCCAAAATGTAGTGCTTGCCAGGTCTGGGCTAGTAGGCATATGACTTATCTCTTCTGACTTCACGACAAGGATTGCCGTCACCATTTTACACGTGAAGAGACAAGAGGCTCAGAGAAGTTATATGACTTTTCCCAAATTACAAAGCCAGCAAGTGATGGGGCTGGGGGCCCAACCCCACAGAGCTGACTCCAAATGCCACACCCTCCACCACATCCCTCTACTGTTGGTTCCTTTTCTGTGATCTGAGTTTCCTGCCTTCCATGCTCCTGAGATGAGAGCTACCACGGTGACTCATACCTAGCTCACAACTTTTGCAGAACACAGAGCACTGTTCCATGTGTTACCTCATTTACTTCTCAAAGAAAGTTTGCTATTTTTATCAATGCAAATAGCAACACTCATGACATCAAGCAGTCGCACAGCAATTATGACCTGTGGGACATATGCTGACTGCTGGGGGCACGTTGGTGCCTTGGGTGGGGTCACACAGCAGGTTGCAGTGACCCTAGGGCATTTCCAGAGGCAGAGGAGGGGGCCACAAGGAGATGGAGCTGCCCGGCCCTGCGGGTGCTGAGATGGTGGGGAAGTGATACTTACGACACATGTAACCCCGCAGCTTTCCTGATTTCTCAGGTAGAAATTGTGATGTCCCTGCTTGGGATGTTTTGTCCCCCTCTGTTTGAAACCATTGCTGCCCTGGAGAATTACCACCCACGCATCGGACTGAAGTGGCAGCTGGGACGCATCTTCGCGCTCTTCCTGGGAAACCTCTACACATTTCTCTTGGCCCTGATGGATGACGTCCACCTCAAGGTAAAGACCACAAACTTCCCCCCAATTCCTAGTGGCCCACCATATTTCCTTTTTAAAATATAATACGTTCCTTGTGTATCATGTACATGAATTAAAGAAATTTTGGAAAGGTCAGAAAAGGAAAAGGAAAAAAATCATCGCCAGATGCCTATGACCCAATGGTTAACGTTTTCCGTTCTGTTTTTTACTCTCTTTTCCTTAGGTTGTCTTTTTTCACATCATCTACATCTCATTGGGTACCCTTAAGATTTTATCTGCAGCCTTTCCCGTATTGTTTCTTAGCTGTCATCAATGTTTACCAGTGGAGTAAGTGTCCACTGAGATGATAAGTCATGGTTGCATTAACCTTTCATCATTGTCACCAGACAGTTATGGTGCACCCACTCAGGCCCCAGGGGTACATCAGAGAGCAAGACGCTGTCCTGTTCCAAGGGTGATCACACTCTGGGCCAGGAGACGGACTCGTTCATCACATCATGCTATATGGCATGTGCCTCAGTGGGGGCCAGCCCGGGGCAGCGTGGCAGTGCGCAGGAGGGCTGCAGACCCCACCGTGGGCAATCTTAGCAGACACTGAAAAAGCAGAAGGAGCAGCTTCTGCATACAGGGAACTTCGGGTTAGCCGAACAGTTGAGTTGAGGGGGAAAAGTGAACACTGAAACTGGGAGAGGGGCCGGAGGCTGGTGCTCCCCTTCCCCACGCCTCCCTCCTCATTTGTGAGCCACACAAACTTTTCCCTGAAGTTAACAGGAAGATATTGGAAGGTTCTAAGCTTGGAAGTGACTGGATCTGGCCCTGGCCACCCTCCACCTCCATCTCTGGCTTCCCTCCTACCCTAGCAAACGGCTCCACTCTCCAGAGCCTCCCATTTCCTCCACAGGGCAAAATTCTCTCTGGTCTCTCTCTCCACACTTCTCCCACTGTTTGACCAGTTGACAGACCCTCGTGAAGTTTTGGCTCAGTTGTCCCTGCTTCCAGGAAGTCTGTTGTGGCCCCATTATCTGATGTGGATGTCCGTAGTCCCCAGAGAAAATTTCCCACAGCTCCCATCACTCTTTTCTGTAACTGTCTGTTCATCTGTTACTTAGCAGACTGTGAACTTTTGAAGGTAAGTCCCATTCATTCCTGTGTCCCTCCTGTTCACTCCTGTGTCACCATTGCCTTAGATACCCAGAACAGACCCTGAAGAAAATTCATTTCAACAGAAGAATGAATAATTGGATGGATGGATGGATGAATGAATGGATGGATGGATGGATGGATAAATGGATGAATGAAGAGATAGATAATAACTTAGAGAAAGAAAAAGACTCCAGCCAGGGGCCTCTGTCTCCTCTGTGGATCGAAAGCCTGGGAAGGGCATTTCTGGAGAGACTGTTGAGGGGGAGGGTGGGAGCCAGGTGGGAGGGTTGTGGCATGTGCTGGCTTTGTTGATCCTGTGAAATCTGTTGGACCTTCCTTGGCTCCTTCCAACTCCGAGTCTCCGTCTTCCATTCTAGCTTTCGAATGAAGAGACAATAAAGAACATCACGCACTGGACCCTGTTTCACTACTACAATGCCTCGGGTTGGAACGAGAGTGTCCCCCGGCCACCCCTGCACCCTGCAGATGTGCCCCGGGGTTCTTGCTGGGAGACAGCCGTGGGCATTGTGCGTAGTTATGCTCTCCTGAAAGGGTGATCCCTCTTCTCATTTCCTTGTCATTCCTTCCTTGATATTTCTATTTTTTTCTCCTTTTTCAGTTTTATTAGGTAGAGTTATTACAGTCAGACTGCACATACACATTATATTGCATGTAAATACATATATACAGTATACTGCACATTTTTTAGTTTACATGTATGTGCTAATTATTGTTTCTAAGAACATATTAGATCTTTAGTTTTTTAAACTTATATAGTTATCAAAGGAGTAAAGCCAACTACAAAATAAGAATCAACAGAATGCGGTAATCCAATCATAAAGGACAGTCAAATGTGCTTACACATATTCAAGATATTTCTATTTTTAAGCCACCAGAATGTCAAGCCAGTATCCCTTAGGAAAGTCTCATCTTTTCACATTTCCCTTTTTTTTTTCCAGTGTCTTACATATTTCTCTATATGCTCCCTCTAACGATCTCATATCACTTGGATTTATTTAATAGAGTTTTGCTGCGGATTTCACTGAAAGTCTGAGGTTCTCCACCTGGAAATCATGACTAAATACTCCTAAAAATTGGATACAGGATTTTGTGTGTATATACATCAGTAAATTTTTCTGCAAAGAGAATTAAAGCTTTTCATCAGAATGTCAAAAATGAACAACCACCTTTTCCCCTTATCCACTTGCACTACTATTCCTGTAGCTTATACAGTGTGAGCTTCAGTGGCTTGTGTTCTTTGCTTTCCTAGGCGGAAACCTGAAGTGTCCACAGGTAACACAGGGACCAGCTCCTTCTCTTCCTCTGCAGCATCTCTTTGCACGGGGTTTCTATTCATCTGCCACCTCACTGAGATTCAGAGTTTATTACTTCTTCTTGGTTCCCCCTGAAGAATCCACTCCAATAGAGCATTAGACAACAGTGTTTTTAACTGAGGATAATGAAGTACAATGGAGGAGTGGATTACATCAGACACTCCATCAAACACTGCCTACAAGTCCTCCAGCAGATACTTGCCTCCTTCAGGGTCTCCTTCCCATGGGGTCCCGGGGGCTTTTTCTCTCTACTTCCTTTATGGAGGGCTCAGACTCACCACTTCTTGTCTCCTCTAGTCAGGATTCCCCCATTCTCTTCAAATCCTCCTCGTCTTTAATGTGCAGAGCAACTCACATTTCTAAACCCATCACAATCTGTAACAGAGAAAGAGTCTTCAAGTCAGGAAAGCCCACCTTCTTTGGGAGGCAAAAGAGAGTTCATTACCTACATGATTCCTTTGGAATATTCTGCTATAAAATTTCTCATTTCCTGCCTCACATCTTTGGATGACATCTCACTTGCCTTCCCCCCGAATGTTCATTCCTGTCCCCATCACTGATTGAAGCTTACTTCTTTTTGAGTTTGCTGGTAATAATGAGTTTGAGGTGTTCTGTCCTGCTCACCCAAATCCATCACCACCTCCACCCAGAGGATCACCTTGCACAGAAGGGCAGATCTGAGACATGTCTTAAACGAATTAACCTGAATTCTTATTGAGGAATAAGCCTGAAAACTCAGTAGCCATATATCCAGCTGACATTTATTAATCATCTTGTAGGATTCACAGATGAACAGAGCAGAGGGTGGGGGAGTATAGCTCAGTGGTAGACTACATGCTTAGCATGCATGAGGTCCTGGGTTCAATCCCCAGCACCTCCATTTAAAAAAAGTTTTTAATGAATAGAGCAGACCCTGTGCCCCCTAAGAACTCCAAATCTATTAGATGTCTTAAAGATTGTGATGCTATCTGGTAGATCTTTTCTACTTTTCCCCCCAAATTAATAAATTATACATACTTTACAAAGCAGAGAAAGCTTTGTTCCTTTGCTTTTGGCCCTTCTTCTATATGCCTCTGTGAAAACCTGTATTACTTTCTCTATGAACCTAAAAAAAAAAAAAAGGCCCAAGTAGCAGAGGGTGAAGAAAGCCAGCTGTTTTCCACAGGGACAATGGGCAGATTCAGTCTTACCTGGAGTACCTGGAGTCAGCCTTCAGAGCCTAGATCTGTGCAACAGTGCTGATAACTCCCAAACACTGGATATTGCCAATTGCCAGGCAATTTGCATACGTAATCACCAAACTTCCCAATAACCCTGCAAGGTTGAGATTATCAACTTAAAGAGGTTCAGAGACTATTCCAGAACAATACAATTAGCAACTTGCAGAGCTGGGACCTATAGGAAGCATTTTTCAAAGCCTGGGGTCTTTTATCTGCACCACCACTCTGCCACCACCATCAGAGGTTCACGGAGAAGAATACAGGTGGGTGGGGGAGAGCTTGTCCAGCTGCAGTCAGTTGGGAGGAGCGGGCCTGGTCAAACCATGACCATCCCTTTCTCTGTGTTCCTCTTCGCAGGAATTCATGAGGCTGACGGTGTCCGACATGCTGGTAACGTACATCACCATCCTGCTGGGGGACTTCCTGCGGGCTTGTTTTGTCCGGTTCATGAACTACTGCTGGTGCTGGGACCTGGAGGCTGGATTTGTAGGTCACCGTTTCACAGATGTTCTGCAGGAAGGCCTTTCAGCCACCCTCTCTGATATAGTCAGATACATTCTGTGCATTTCTTTAGATGCTTAATATCAGTTTCTACTCTGTGAAAAAGTGAAGTATTTAATCTGTGTTTCCTTTAAGTGTCTCATTTGCCATTTTAGAGGAAACGCTGCTTTTTCCTGATGTAATTAACAGTATGAGCTTCTTCTCTGGGAAATGGAGGTGTTTAGCCTTGGGAAAGGTGGACCATGCTCCTCAGTGCTGAGCGGGTGGGTGGTGGAGAAATGGCAAAGCAGCATCAGCCCTCGTTAGGGAAGGCGAAACCATTAGTCTTGGAAGTCCACACTGTGCAAGCTCCAGGGAAGTGGTAGTTCTTAATTTTTGATGCTCTAATGAAATTCTAGAGTTAGGGAGGCTAGATATGGACGTGAATGTTTCAGGAAGTCCTAGAACACACCAAGAATGCAATAACCATTGGTGCTGTCTTTCGGTTGTTGCTTTGAGAAACCTTTTTGACTCTTATTCCCTCCAGCTAGGACACTCCTCTTCTACACCTGCCTGGTAAAGTGCTCATTTATATGCGGGTCATTTCCTCTCTGTGGTGCCTTCTATAATCTGGCAGAGTCTCTGGCCTCATCTGTCCTGTGCCTGTCTCTTCCACATCACCTCACTCGCCCACCCAGTAGTCACTTATATTGGGGTGGGGACCTACTCCTTAAGTGAGTTCCATATTCTGTTTACCTGTGTTGTCCTCATCCTGGTGCACACAGCTGCATGCCTGGCCCAGGTAAGGCTTCCAGTATCAGTTTCCATCCCATTTTTTTCTTTCAGTCACCAGCCACAGTTTTCACACAAGCCTACTCAACCCCTTCTCAGCGGCAAGGACAACTTCATAATTTTATCTGAGAACAAGGAGGAAAGAACCTCGTCCTCAAAGCAGATGCCATCTTTAACAGGAAGGCACGACATTGCTAAGATGTCACTGCCCTCAGATTAATTTATAATTTCAACAAGATCCCAAAATAATAAAGTTCATTCAAGGAATAAGCATATGGAAATAGCCAGGAAATTTTTTAAGAATGAAAGGAACTAAACCTGACGTTATATTAAAACATATTAAGAAGCTATAATAATTAAAACTGGTAATAAGAAACAGACAAACTTATGAATGGAACAGAATAGGAAGTCCAGAAATAGATAAAATCTATATGGAAATTTAGTCTATAATAAAAGGAATCTTTCAAACCAGTGGCAAAAACAGGATTATATAACAATGGGTTGAGACAGCTGGTTTACCATTCGGGGAAGCGCTCTCTCTCTCTCTCTCTTTCATTTCACCTAAACACAGGAGAATTACAGTTTTAAATATCAAAAGATGAAATCATAAATTTCTAAAAGAAAACATAAATAAACTTACAACATTGGGGTGAGGAAGATTTTCCTAAATAGGACAAAAAAGTCAGTAGATAAAAAGTTTTTTAAAATACTTTTAAACGTCAAATTTTAAATTCCCAAGATTTAACCCTCGTGTATTGGATTTTGCATGTTTCCTCCTTTGACCCAAGCTCACGGACCTTCCTTGCCTCTCTCCTGACCTTGCATTCCTCCTTCTCTCGTTTCTGTCACTTTATCTCCATTTCCAGAAGATAAATTGGGAAGCACGATTAAGCTGGCCTCAGAAGGCCCCCCGACTCCCCAGGGCTCACACACCTCGTGTCCCTTCAAATAGTAGACAAATGTCCAAAACTCTGAAAGTCAGAATCAGGCTGAACATCTGAATCTGTCTGTGCTCGTTCCTTTTGTAAACTACTCTCAGACCAGAGGAGGATGAGAAGGAAAAAGCAGAATTAGTGGAGTGATTTATTTTGTTTGTTTTTAAAGCTTTCTTTTCATTTGACTCCTCATTTAAGTATTTGCATTTTGTTATTTATTAGATTGACTCCTTGATTATCGTTTCAAGGTGCATTTCTGATCAGAGCATTGATAAAATGTTCTCTTGGGGGCCAGGGTCCCCCCAAGAATACACTATCAACCTGCAGGCCCTGAAAGGTAAAAATTCTCACTTTTTTAATTGAGGAAGACATGGAAAAAAGTTTCAAGTCTGAGAACTTCAAGCCTTTTTTCAAAAATTGAAAACATGTTAAAGAAATAGAACCTTGAGTCTAAGATACATCTCTGGCCATCAGAGCAGGCTCTTTGGGAGGGAGGGTCTTGACCAGCTGGCTGGTAGAAGGGCCTAGCTGGCACTACCTAACTCTCTCTCTTTTCTCTCCAGCCCTCATATGCTGAGTTTGATATTAGTGGAAATGTGCTTGGTTTGATCTTCAACCAAGGAATGATCTGGTGAGTTATCCGTTTTCTCTGGGGATCACCTCATCTGGGGAGTCAAAAAGCTGGAATCCCAGGCTTTGCTTCATCTGAGAAGAGGCTGGACAAACCATCTGGACTCTGAGCCTCCTTCTTTCACCTGAGAAACAGAGGACAGGGGTCCATGAGAACCTGGACCTTGTCCAGCCCACCCATCTGCTACCATGGATGTAGAGGGAAGAGAAGAGGTAGGGAGAGAGAAGGAAGAAGGAAAAAGTTGGAAGGGAAAGAAAGGGAGGGAGGAGAGAAAGAGGTGGGAAGGAAAAGAAGAAGGAGGAAGGGAGAAAAGAGAAGGCGAGAGGGAGGAGATAAAGGAACTGAGGAGCCTCCCTCTGAGAAGGGAGTGAGAGGAGGCTGCACAACTTCAGCCAAAGGCTTTCAAGGGCTCATTACAATCCAATTCTTTTGATTTAAGGACTTCAAATCCTTTTCTGAGCAGCAATGCCGTTTTCTAGAGACCACAGAGAACGAGACAGGAGGCCATGCGATTGGCTCGATGGCTGGTAGGGGGCAGTGGTAAAATCCTGGCCAGAACCTAACCCAGTAATGCTCTGAGTGTCTCCCCATCCTGAGGACTGGATGCCTATGACTTAGCGATAAATGTCCTGGCTAAATGCAAGGCCCCTTCCCTTGGGACCTACAGAGAAGCAGCAAGGCCTTGTGCCCCTAACCCATCAATCCCACTTCCTTCCTCCATCCTTCCCTGGCCTCTTCCGCTGTCGGGCCAACCAGGCGTGCGGTCTCTGCCCTTCCAGGATGGGTTCCTTCTATGCCCCAGGCCTGGTGGGCATCAACGTGCTGCGCCTGCTGACCTCCATGTACTTCCAGTGCTGGGCGGTGATGAGCAGCAATGTCCCCCACGAGCGCGTGTTCAAAGCCTCCCGGTCCAACAACTTCTACATGGGCCTCCTGCTGCTGGTGCTCTTCCTCAGCCTCCTGCCCGTGGCCTACACCATCATGTCCCTCCCGCCCTCCTTTGACTGCGGGCCATTCAGGTACACAGCATTCTTGGTTGCAGGAAAGTGGCTCCCCCCAACCCCCGGGGGCAGTCTGTGCAGAGATCCCAGGCTTGGAATTCCAGTCCTTGTGTCACGTCAGCCTGTAAAAGGCCATGGGGCTCTGGACGAATCCTTAAGGCTGTTCAATAGAGTTTTCTGCAGGCTGGAAATGTTCCATGTGTGTGCTCTCCTATATGGTAGCCGTGAGTCCCATGTGGCGGGTGAGCACTTGAAATAAGGACCAAGAAACTGAATTTCTAATTTTATTTCATGTAATGAATTTTAATTTAAATAACCAGAGGTGGCTAATGGCTACCATATGGGACAGTGCAGCTCTAACCTTTCAACATATGGATAATCTACTGCCCTGGTTTATTGCCGTAGGATCAGTAATGGGGGGTTCTGAAAATGAAATGACCATACATTTACAAGTGCCATTCAAATGTGGAGCAGCTATTAAGGCTGCTGACAGGGTCCCCACGCTCTACAGAGCACTCGCCAGCACTGCAGCTTCAAGGTGTAAGTGGACTAGCTTCAGAGGCTAGACTGGAAATTATATAAAGAGATAAATAATTATGTAAAGAGGTAGGTGGAGAAATAAGTTGCATCTACTGCTCTCTTTCCAAATGGACACCCTCTGAAAACAAAGCCCTTTCTCCTCTGCCTCAAAAGGGATTCCATCGTTCAAGAGTTTGGAACATGCTGTCCCTTTTCTCCGCCACTTCCTCACTTAGAAATATACGATGCACACTCCTTTATTAAAGGCTGGGAGGAAATGTGCAGGAAGATACTGTGTGCAGGCCAGTGCCTCCATCCCTACTGACTACAGACCCTTTCTTCACGGAACACCATCCCAGGCCTGGAGGAGGGTGGGGCAAGGGAGGGGCCCACCTGCACCCACACAACCCCGAGGGCAGCACCTCCGTAAACTGTGCACCCCACGGCCTCGCCTACCTCTCTCCAATCCCTACCCCGCCTACTACGGGGATCAACCCGCTGTGGGAAATGCTGATCTGGCACTTCTCAGTTTGTAAGGGACTGACCTAGAGCCCTATGGTTGGTGGCCCACAGTAAGCGCCGGCAGAGCTCAGAAGAGTCGTTAGCAGGAGAGCTCACAGCAGAGTGTGATGGGGCTGAACGAGGGTCCAGGCAGAAGGAGAGGTGGGCTGGATCCAGAGCAGAAGACCATAGGAGGCCTGGGCAACAGGCTGAGGGGCAAGCACACAGCAGAAGTGGCTGAAGCCTCTTCTGGATTCTTCCTGAGCAAGCCTTGGAGGGCTGGGCCCTGGGTACAAACACCAGTGCTCCCTTGCCTGAACCACCAACCGTCTAGGGCAGTGAGTAGGCCCGTGCCGTGTCTGGCCCTCACCACCCACCCCATCCTTGCTCCATCGCCTTCCTGAGAGGCCCAGACAGCCCACACCCAAGGAGCAGAGAAAGGGACAGGAAGGTGCATCTCAGGGGGAAATCTGGCTGCCCCCTCCTTCGGGTCACTCTGCTGATCAAAACCCACCAACAGCTAGAACGTTCATCCCTCAGATATTTTCACAGCTGCCCTCTCACTTCAGATCTTTACTCCAAGGCCACCTTTTCAGTGAGGACTTCCCTGGAGACCCTCACTGAAATCACATACACACACATGCATGCACACACACACACTTCTTTTCATTATTTCTGTTTATTACATTTCTCTATCAACATCTAGCATATCATTCTTTTTACTTTTTTATCTTATTTGTTGTCTGTCTCCCTCACCAGGCTATAAGTTCCATCCAGGTGTGATTTTTTTCTTCTTTCTTTCTTTCTCCCTGCTTTATACCCAGCATCTAAGAGAAACACCTGGTTTATGGTCATGCTCGAACCAGACCCTCCACCTCACGGAAATTCACCTTCACAGGAAGGAATTTAGGGTTTGGACCAGATCCAGGCAGGCAACATAAGTGAATGAGATGGTCAGCATTGCATAGCATAGAGTTAAAAGTAGAGGTTAATGGACCAAATCCAGGCCACCACCTGTTTTTGTAAATAAAGTTTTATTGGAACACAGCCTCACCCGTTTGCTTCCATATAATCTATGGCTGCTGTCTCGCTGCAACAGCAAAATTGAGCAGTTCCGACAGAGACCATCTGGCTCACAAAGCCTACAATCTTTGCAGAGAAAAACTGCCAGCCCCCTGATTTAGAGCATCGTCTCTTCAGCTGGCTCTGTCATTTGCCAGCTGGGGCATCCTGAGCCAGTTACTTAGTTCCTTCCCCCTCAGCTTCACAGCCTGTGAGATGGAAATGACGGCAGTGCCTGCTTCACGGGTTGTTGTGAGGATTTGGTGTGCTGTTGTCTGTAAAGTCCTTAGAGGACGGTGTGAATGCATATAAGGCATACATCAGAGTTGGTTAAGCTTGAGCCCTGCCCGAGTTTGGGGTAGCTGGTACTCAACAAGGCTGGGAGGTGGGAAGCATTATCTACACCAGGAATCAGCTCATTTTTTCTTTTAGAGCCTGACAGTACATATTTTAAGACTCTGGAGATGAAGAGGCAAAATCAAGCATATTATGTAGGTACTTCTATAACAAGAGAGAAACAAGTACCCACAACATTTTTACTTTTAATGGCAAAATTCAAGATATGATGATGAGTACAACTTTTTGTAATGCAGGTCTACCAATGAGAAGAATGGAATTCTTTGGGAGCAGGGCAGGTGATAGTTCACATAATGGAGGTTCAAAGTTACTGTTCCCCATCATCAAAAATCAGTTGTCCTGCCCAGATTGCCACTTTTGCTGCCTGGATCCATGACTGTGCCAGACGTGGCAACCCATCTACCACATAGGAAAAAAAGTTGCCATAAAGCCTTATTACCACTAAGCCATTGAACTGCTACGCAGTAGAGCAAGACAGGATATTTGGTTTCTATTTCTGATTTTTAAAATTCACAGATATGGAAATGATTAAGGTATAAGAGCAAATGAAGTTTACTGTTGACACTGTTGATTCAATTGCACCTGGTAGATTCAAATATTTTCTGCAAATCATTTACTGATGAGAAAGACAATGAATAACCATTGTCTGTACACACCTGAAATTTCCCAAGCTTCACTAATTTGCTCACGTGAGAAAGCCAAGGGGGAGGCTGGACAACCTTCTGCTAGTGCTTTTGAAGGATCAAGAGATCTAAATATTCAATCACGCAGTGGGTTCTTTTAAGCATGTAACTTGATCCTTTCAACCATCCAAGGAGAAGCCAGAAATAGAGATGGAATTATCCAGGAAAGATCTGTGTAGGACTCTCTTGTGTAGTGGACTGAGTTCCCATGACATACATAGAAGACCCACCAGGTATCTGAGAAAGTTATATGAGCAGGAACACAGCCTGGACTGAAAGGGGCAGAGAAGAGACAAAATGAAAGCGAGCCGTTGGACTCCAAATATTTGATGAGCAGTAAACAGGTTGATAAAATCTTCTCAGTTAAAACATGTGTTACTCTTCAAAACAAAGGAAGGATGACTCTGAGGCCAGAATCTTGGGCCTGGAGGGCAGAGCTTCAGGCACAGAGGATGGAGCCAAGAGCATAGAGGATTATTCTCAGGCCTTTGAAATCCAATAGAATTTGGCTGATTGGATTTCAAAATTGCTGGGAACTGGTTATTCCTTTCTTCCTTCCATTTCCTCCCTTTTGGAATTGGAATATCTATAACTGTTATCCTATGGCTGACCAACAATTAAATTTTGGGAGCAAATAACTTATTTTCTAGTTTCACAGCTTCTCAGATAGAGAGGAATTTTGCCCCCAAATGGATCGCCCACAGATTCTCCTCCATACCTGATTCAGATGATGAGGTTTGGGACTTTTGACCTGATGATATTGAGATGAGATTTTGGTCTCTGAGTTGATGCTGTAATAGGTTGAGACTTTGGGGGATGTAGGGATGGTGGTGAAAGTATTTTACAGGTGAATGAGTACGAATCTTTGGAGGCCAGAGAGTAGGGTGTAGTGGATTGAATAATGGCTTTTAAAAAGTCCAGGTCCTAATCCCTGGAATGTATTACCATATGTAGCAAAACAGCCTTTGCTTATGTGATTAAGGATCTTGAGATGGGAATTGTCTGAATTACCCAGATTGGCACTAATCCTTCTAAGAGTGAGGCAAAAGGAGATTTGACTAGAGAGGAGCTGTAAGTGGTGTGACCATGGAAGCAGAGAGAGATGTTTAAAATTTCTATGATGCTAGCTTTGAAGATGGAGGAAGGGGCCATGAGCCGAGAAAGGGGCCATGAGCCAAGGAAGGCAAAGAACAAAGCTGTAAAAGCTGAAAATAGGAAAGGAAAACAGAGTCCTCCCTAGAGCCTCTCTCTGAATAGAGAGCAGCCCTGCCAACACTTTGGTATCAGCCCAGTGAGACCATTTCAAGACTTTCTGGCCTCCAGAACTGGAAGAGAATAAATCTGTATTATTTTAAGCCACCAGTGTGCTCATTTGGTCAGTAGGCACTGAAAATGCATCCATCATTGAATGCAGCAAATTCAATGAAAAGACAGTCCACCCTCTATTGTGACTTAAAATCGTCACATTTGAAATCCACTTGTCTTTTCTCGTTTTTACATAGCGAGTATGCCCAGGTAATAAATAATAAATTAAATGTTACAATATGGTGATATGCATGGCACTTGAAATGCTGTCCTGTTATAACCACATCACTGCAATTTGTAATGTGCTGGGCGACAGTGCTAAGCACTGAGATGGCCACAGATGTTCTCTACCCCAGCTGCTCATCTCTGCTCAAATTGTAGCACAAAAACAACCACAGACAATATGTAAATAAGTCAGTGTGGCCGTGTTCCAATAAAACTTTATTTACAGACACTGAAGTTTGCATTTCATACTTCAGTTTGTATGTCACAAAATATCCTTCTTCTTTTGATATTTTTCCAACCATTTAAAAATGTAAAAACCATTCTTAGCCCACAGGCCATATGAAAACAGGTAGCAAGTTGAATTTGGTCCACGGGCCATTTTTTTGCCAAGCCCTGATTGACAGTTTACATAAGAGAAAAGTGAAGCTTCTAGATGCAACATTTTAGAGGGCACTTGTAACTTGACAGCCCCTTACTCGATGTTTTATATGAATCATGTCTATGTCCTCTAAACAATCTTTGGAGGCAAAAGCTATTATTACACTCATAATACCATATTATACTAGATTATTATTGTACTATGTTATACAGATGAGGAAACCAGGGCTGAAAAATTTTCAATATCTTGCCCAAAGATATCAAACCTCTCTACAGCACTATCCAACAGAACTTTCTATATGAGGGGGAAATCCATATCTGCACCTCAAATACAGTAGCTATTAGTCATATGACTTGAGCACTTGAAATGTGAAACTGAGAAACTGAATTTAACTGAACTGAACTGAATTGAATTGAATTGAATTGAATTGAATTGAATTGACTTTTAATAGGACAGTACAGCTCTAGTGGGAAAAGCGAGGGTATGAATACAGGCATAAAGTGAGTATGTAAATTGTCCACAGTGTTCCACAGCTAATAAATAGAGGAGTGAGAATTTAAATCAGGAATTTCAAACCACAAAGTCCAGGTCTTGGTACCCAAACTACCAACCAAAGCCAGAAGCAGCCAGCAGTCTGGGCAGGTATTTGTGGAAGGCAGTCTGCATAATGGTTCTTAGGTATTCAAAGAAAATCAAAATTACTGTTGTGAACTGTCCAGGAGCCTCTCCTAGGCAATCCCATCTCCTGGAATTCTAATCTGAAGACAAATTGTAGGTACTTTTGAGTCATCATGCGAGCACCCATCACATCAGTCTCTGGAGAGTGATCTCCATGCCCGGGACCCCGGAGAAAGCTCCACATTGGTCCCCAAGCTACATCACAGGCAATTTTCTCCCATGAGAGTGTGGGAGAAAACCCACTTCCATCTTGCTGAGGGAGGTGCCAGGCACAGGAGACGAATGTAGTTTGAGGGGTTGTGAGGCACGGAGGATGGCAGCCTGGGGCAGCTATAAACCTGAGCCAAAGGGCAGCCCCTTACTTGCAGTCCCTGTGGAGCAGAGCTCAGGTTCTTCCAGGAGAGCAGTGGTGGGTGGTAGCTTGGACCCACAGGGCACTGACACAGCTGTTTACACCATAGGAGCTCTGAGCAGGCTGTAATGTATCCTCTCCTCTTTCCAGTGGGAAAAACAGAATGTATGATGTCATCCAAGAGACAATCGAAAACGATTTCCCAACCTTCCTGGGCAAGATCTTTGCTTTCCTCGCCAACCCAGGCCTGATCATTCCAGCCATCCTGCTGATGTTGTAAGTTAGCCAGGCTCTTACATGGCCCTGCCTCATGGAACCCTCTGCATGCAGTTGAAAATTCCTTGGCAGGTCCTTCTTTCTCGCTCTCTTAATTTGGATTTCCCAGAAGCAAATCCTAAAACAAAGATTTAAATGCAAGTAATTTATTGGAGGGGAGGGGAGAGGGAGTTGGAATAGGGAAGTGAGACAGAGAAGGGACGGGAAGGGGCATTCCTACTCCTGGGATGACGTTAATCTCGCTGGGAATTCTGGGAAACAGCGTACCTCTGAGTTATCCCGCTCAAGGGTGAGGGGTCCAGAGCATGTGCAGACCAGCTCCCATCAGTCACTGGTTGAGTGCTGCTGGGAGACATGGAAGGGGAGAGGCATTGGTTAATTCACTGGCAGTTTGGGCTGAATGGTTTCTGTGGAGGGGAAGCTTCAGGTATGGGGTGAAGATACTGGCCGCTGCAAGTCTGTCAGGGAACACACAGAAGGTGGGGCCTGAAGAATGAGGTGGTTGGGGAGGGTATAGCTCAGCGGTAGAGGACATGCCTAGCATGCACGAGGTCCTGAGTTCAATCCCCAGTACCTCCATTAAAATAAATAAACCTAATTACCTCCCCCCTCAAAAAATAAAATTAATTAAATAAACAAAGAATGAGGAAATGTCCACTAGAAATATCAAAGACCCCTGAGTCCCTGAGAAATCTGGGGCCTGATGCAGCCTGTCCCTAGCTGGGCCCACAGGACTTCTTCACGGAGCACCCTGTGTGCTGAACATTCGGTGCGTTTATCGCTGACCCTCTCACAGGCTGAGAACCCCCTGAGATAGTAGAACTGCTCCAGAGAAGCACATTTTCAAAAGTTTTATATCTTATCAGAACAAAGAACATTAAACAAATCAGGGATATATTCCTTCAAGGTTTCAAAAAAAAAAGACCAGCATTCACACAGCAAGTCAGTAGGGCCTCAACACCTGGGAAGAGAATCTTTCCATCAAAGGAGGACCAACACCGGCGTCCTAGGAAGGGAGGCATTTAATCTTTATTTTTAACATGGACTTTCTTTACTTCTGGTCAATGCACCCCTTTCTTTAATAACCAAAACATATGTACAATGTGTGTTCGATGGGCCACAAACAGGCTGATCTAATTAGCATCAAATTCGAGTTAACTCATGCATAAGGCAGAATGACTTCTGCACACCTCAATATGGGAAAATTTTCTTTCATCAACTGTATGAATAAACCACAATTTACCCATTTCTCCGCATGGAGATAGGCTATTTCCACTATTTTGCTATTGCAAATGTGTTCCTTACGTATGTCTCCTTGTGCACATGTTCACATTTTCCTAAGACAGACTTCAGGAAATGAAACTGCTGGTTCAGAGGTATGGGTTTCTTCAGTCTTTGTAGGCAGCGCTGAATTGCTCTCCAAAACAGGTGTCTGCCTTACATCCTCGTCTTCAGATGTCCTCTGCTTCTAGTCCTGGTGTGAGCGGGGGCTGCCATGACAGTGATCACCTGGACTGCCCTGTGACTGCCTGAGGAAATCCTAGAACCCAGACAGACACCAAGCCTGAACCTTGTGGGCAGCCCAGGGAAATGCTAAACTTGTAAACAGCCTCCGGAGGAACACAGGCACCACGAGCATTTTCTCCTCTCTGACCTCCAGTTCCTCCCTAATAAACAGGCTGTGAATTAGGAGGCAGGATGAGCCTGGAGGGTGCCTCACCCATAGATAGCAGTCCCTTTGGCTGACCTCCCTTCTGGCCGCTCTTCGTCCTTGAGTCTTTGCTTCAGGAGGATCGGGACAGCCTGACCCACACTCTGCCGACAACCACAGGGTTCCTCCCTCTGGCTACGAGACAGCCCGCAGCCCCTTCTTAAGTGGCTCTGGGTGGCCCCACCCTGAGGGGGAGGCTCAGCGGACCCAAGCTGGAGCAGCTGAGGCTTGAAATGCAGGAAGAAAAGTGACAGATAAGGACAGGCTGACAGAGCACCCAATCCAGGTGCTTTTGTGGCCCCTCCCTCTCAGGTGGTACACCCAGGTCACAGTCCCAAATCCTGGGTCCTGTGAAAGGGAAGCCCGGGCTACAGCCTCAAAGGACACCCTGCAACCCAGTCTGCTCATGGGGGTGGACTGAAAACCGCAGGCGCGGGACAGACATTCCCATCAGTGCTCCCTGGGCAGAGGCCCTTCGGGGTCGACGCACTTGTTTCTAGGCCAACGTGGAGCAGGTCACTTAGTTCCTCTCTCCCTCCTCTCTCAGCACTTGAAGCTGGTGGCAAGGGCCCTGGAGTCAAACGCAGGCTCCGACAAGTTCTAATAGAGGGGGTGACCTTGGGCAAATTACTTCACCCCTCTAAATTCCAGAATACCAATCTGTAAAGAGGGGAGTCGTCCTTTCTGCTTCATAAGGTTTCATCTAAACCAGTCAGATGTGGAGTGGCTAGAGATGTGTAGGTCATTTCCACGTTGAATAAAATAGAGAGAACGGGGATGCCCAAGATCTTGTCCATGTTAACTGGGGAACTTATGATCGTAGGACCTCCCTCCACCCTGCCCAGAGGCAAAGCCTGGACACCTATTCCAGGAAGCCTGCCATGATTCCTCGGGAAAGGCGTCCAGCTCTTGTCATCTTTCAAGATCACAGTGCCCCAGGAGCATGCTTTTCTCTTGCAGCCTGGCCATCTACTACCTGAACTCAGTTTCCAAAAGCCTTTCCCGATCTAATGCCCAGCTGAGGAAGAAAATCCAAGCGGTGAGTCTGATGGGAGTTTTCAATCAAAAAAAAATGTTACGTTTTTGGTTTTTGCTGATTTGCCCTGTGAGCCTGTTATGGAGTCCAAGCTCATACTGCTCGCCACACGACTGGCCAATAAATTGAGAGCCAAGTTGTTGGGGGCAAGAAATGGCAACTTTATTCAGAAAGCCAACAAACCAAAAGGGTGGTGGACTAGAGTCTTCGAGAACAATCTTAACTCAATAAAATTCAGGCTGCTTTTATGTTAAGGGAAAGGGAAAGTGGGAGGGTTCACGATCAAAGGACAAAAGCAAAAGTGCAGACTTCTTGGAGCCACTTGACCTTCAGGGGAAGCATAACATTTCTTCTGCTTTCTCATGCAGGCTGGATGAAGGCTCTTGCAAAAGCTTCAAATTGTTAGCAGTTATTTTTAATCTACTATTTTTTTTCTCTTTTCTTTTTCTTTTTCTTTGTTTTTCTTTGCCTTTCATGGGGGTTTTTTGTTTGGTTTTTTCTTTCTTTTTTTTTTTTTTTCTTTCTTACTCTACCCTTCTTCTCTCTGCTTATTAGCAAGTTTTCTGGGCCAAAAGCAAATTTATCTGTAATAAGTAGTAGCCATAACTAGCTCAGGACCGTAAGATGGGGACTTAATGAGCTATTTGGGCACAAGCAGCACTTCTCGAACATTTACCTCTGGGTGGGCAGGGCCGGAGGACATGAGCTCAAGAGTGAGGGAGGCAGTTCCCACGCGGTGTTAGTTCTGCTCTTCCTCGGCTACGAGCCCAATTGTGTTCTTTAAATGACTTTCTTCTAAACCAAATCCAAAACTAGCCGTATGCGAGGAAGCAACCTTGAGAGACCTGCATTTATATTCTGAGGGTATTTGGGAGTACATGACATTAATGACTTAAATTTTGAGAGGTTGCAGAAGTACAAGAGAAACTCAATGGATTCACCCAATGTTCATATATAATAAAAACCAGTACCCACAATAATTTTTACAGATTAAAACTAGTACTAGAAATATTAAAGAAAATAGTATTGTCAAAACGACATATTGCTCGTGCCCCACGGCCCAAGTTGTCACCTAAGTCCCCTCCATGCTCAGGCAGCCTGTCTCAACATCAGCTGACACCCTGACAGCCTCCGCTCACCCAGCCCCCACCCCGACCTCCTACACACGGTAAAGGGTGGACCCCAACTTTCCCTAAGCCCTTTCCTCCTGGCTTCCTCGCCTCCTCTTCTGGAACTTCTGGAACTTTCATCAGCCTCACTGCCAGTTCCCCACCCACAGTTCCTTCTGGTGCTCCCACTGTCCTCCTGCCCAGGTACAGAAAACCACTGAAGTACCACACTGGCAGAGTTCCTGTCCTGTCCTCCTCTGGCCAGATGTTCTTTCAAATGCTGTGCAAACCTGAGTCCCAGGTGCCTCTCCAGTCAGTGGTGGGGACCAGAGCCGGCAA